ATTGCTCGGATGCTAACGCCGCAATGATACAATTGCCGCTCACGCCGAGTCGGCGTCGCCGACCCATCACGCGCATAAGAAACAGCGTTCACGTATTCACGTTTTCAACTGTTTATGTTTCGGATTCGCCAGTGTACGATTGTTTCACATACATATACATGATGGACACTATACATGCTGGTGTATATATCTCGATAACTTTTTAATGATTATCGAAATAATATTTTATTTAGAAGAAAACAAAATATGATAATATAAAATATAATATATTATAAATATAATAAATGCTAATAAATATTATATATTTCTTTTATTTTATAATATTATTTATTATATTATAACATATAATAAATGATATTATAAAATTGCTTATTGTTAATTTATATTATTTATAATTTAATTATTTACTTTATTGTAAAATATAGTAAAAATAATTTTATTGTGACATTAGTTATACTAGTTAGTTTTTCCATTTCTTAAGAGCAATTGACAAAAATATTGACCGATTTAAATCAAATAAATAGTCGAAATTAAAAAGAAAGGAAGTACGAATTTCATGCTTATTAAATAAGATTTTTGTTTCTTATATTTATAAAAAGATACATTATTAACATTTAAGCTCATCATAATTTAAAAATTTCATAAAGATAGAACGGATTAAACTAAATAAAAAAGTCCCTCTTTTTATACTTTTGCAATAAATAAGGAGAAATTAATTTAAGAAGTCGGTCTATCCGCGCGAATAAAAGCGTACAGCGAAAGAAACCGTTTACTAACTTGATACAAAGCGCACAGTGAAGCAATGGAAAAAGCACTCAGCTCGATATTCAATATGTTAATGTTTTCTCCGATTATAATAGAAAATTGATAATTGTAGAAATTAATTTAATTTCATAAATCTTATTATTATATATTATACAAGGTGTTCCAGATCAATCGTTTTATTTGTCATAGAAATAGAACGGGTTAAACTAGGTCAAAAATAGAACGATTGACGGTCAATTATCAATTTTCTATTATAATCGGAGAAACATTAACATATTGAATATCGAGCTGAGTGCTTTTTCCATTGCTTCACTGTGCGCTTTGTATCAAGGTAGTAAACGGTTTCTTTTCGCTGTACGCTTTTATTCGCGCGGATAGACCGACTTCTTAAATTAATTTCTCCTTACTTATTGCAAAAGTACAAAACGGAGGACATTTTTAGTCCTACAAATGTTCATATATAAAAGATATATACTCTTTTACATGTAATATTTTAATATATAAATGTTCCTAAATAAAATAAATAATATATATCTAACTTGTTTCTAAAGTTATATAAATCGAATTAGTTTTCTATAAATGTCCGAAAATTCTCATTGTTCCCAAAGTAGAAACAAGTATAAATCTAGTTAAAAATAATTTCCAAATTATATTTTAGTTATTATATTTTCTGGCTTCAAATTATACTTTATAAATGTTTCTTACGTCTTTAAAGTTATAAAGAATTTTATCTCAATTGTCATTAGAGAGAGAGAGAGAGAGAGAGAGAGAGAGAGAGAGAGAGAGAGATGGGGATGAGATATGTAGGACATGTACATGAGACTGATAGAGAAAACAGAACGGACCGCTGAAAAGAAAAAGAATAATTCCGTGTATTGCTCGAGGCTCGAGTATTCGGCGTTGTTTCATGTGCTTAATTTCTTAATCGACCATATACAATATACAAATTTATTGTTAGATATACGAAATTTTAAGACCTTAATAAAAAGGACAGAAATTGCAGGAAGGCAACACGAAATTCGTGCGTCAACGAGTAATTTCGGATGAGAAACGTAAATATACAGGGTATCCCATAATTCGCGAACTATCTTTCGTGAACGGGTACAGCATGTTAAACTGAATAGAAAAGTCCTGTATCATTTCGCTAAACTTGCAATAATTATTGAGTTATTAATAAAAATATCTAGCGAATGAGTGGGTAGAAAGCGGTAGGCCAGAATCGGTGGGCATGTACGATGACTTATTCATTTACGTCTTTTAGTAACAAAAGCATTATCTGATCGAGAGGCAGAGTCATGCAGCGAGCGGCGAGCAATGCCGCCGCGCCGAAAAGTAAGATGATACTTTTGTTATTAAGCGACGTAAACAAATAAGCCCTACATGCTCACCGATTTCGGTCTATCGCTTTCCACTCGCTTATTCGCTTAAATATTTTAATTAATAACTTAATTAATAATTATTACAAATTTATTTGTTTGTCACGGTAACGATATAAGACGTCGTTACATTTTTATAGTAACGGTAACGAATTAGTGGTTAGTTACTTTTTAATTCCTTATTATCTTACTATATATGCTATATACATTTGCCAAAGACTAATTCAGAGTTTTTAATTGTAACATATATTATTATATTTAATATAGATTATTAAGTAAGAGAATTTTAAAATCCAATAGCTTACTTTTTAGCATTACAAAAAATGAAAACGTAACAAAAAGTAACGAAAAAATAACGAATCGTTACTTTCTAAGTAATAATAACGGTAACGCGTTACTTTTTAAAATTAATAACGAATAACGGTAATAAGTTACTTTTTACAATAAGTAATTGTAACAGTAATGTGTTACTTTTTCAGAGTGACGGTCCCAACCCTGAGTTAAATGTAAATATTGTGAATTGTGTATTCTGATTATATAAACTATGTAAAATTTGAAAGTATTATTTCGGGACACCTTATTTTAATTGCCAAATAATATATTAAAAGTATAATTTGAAGGCTTCTTATATCCTAGAAAAATACATTTTATTAAGGTTTGAAATTTTCAAAAACTACGTATATGTATTCAAACTATAAATTTTACATCATATTTGATCTCTCTAAAGTATAGTTTCTAATTATATTTTACAAGTCTTCAAAGTATACGGAACGGACCAGATAAATTATAATAAAAGATGACCTCGAAGTAAGTTCACAATATATAAACTACATAAATGAATCAAGAGACACGGTAGTGTCTCACGACCATTTAAGGGCGTAGCCGACGAGACACCGTGTATCTTAACGCGAGTCGGGCAGTTGTATTATTTCGGGACACCGCTAAATAATATATTTAAAGTATAATTCGAAGACATGTCCTCGAAATATACATTTCATTTGAGTTCTCAGAGTAAATAATTATATAAAGATGACCTCGAAGTAAACTCACAATATATAAACTACATAAATGAATGTATTATTTCGAGACACCGCTGAATAATATATTTAAAGTATAATTCGAGGACATGTTCTCGAAATATACATTTCATTTATGAGTCCTCAGAGTAAACGTTGAGTATAAAAAATGCTTTAACACCCAAAATATTGTTTTATTTTTAAAAATGACAATTATCTAAACTTTGGGAGTTTATCTAATATGGTTTGCAATTGAAAAAATAGGGTGTCCCAAATATACGCTGGACATATGAGGACATGTCCTCGAAATATACGCTGAACATATGAGAGCATGTCCTCGAAATATACATTTCATTTATGAGTCCTCAGAGTAAACGTTAACTATAAAAAATGCTTTAACACCCAAAATATTGTTTTATTTTTAAAAATGACAATTATCTAAACTTTGGGAGTTTATCTAATATGGTTTGCAATTGAAAAAATAGGGTGTCCCAAAATATACGCTGGACATATGAGGACATGTCTCGAAATATACGCTGAACATATGAGAGCATGTCCTCGAAATATACATTTCATTTATGAGTCCTCAAAGTAAACGTTGAGTATAAAAAATGCTTTAATATCCAAATATTGTTTTATTTTCAAAAATGACAATTATCCTGAGTTTGGGAATTTATCTAATATAGTTTGCAATTAAAAAAAGAGTGTCCCAAAATATACGCTGGACATATGGGAGATTGTCCCCAAACCATACGTTTGATATGTGATTAGTTTGAGGCCTGTCCCCAAATTATACAAATGTCCTCAAAGTATGCATACGCTTGAAATTCTGTCCCCGTTATATACGCACGATATATATATATATATATATATTGTATACAGGGTAGTAATTCGAAAACAAATAAAAAATAGCAAAAGATGCAATTAAAAGAAAAGAAATATAAGAATTATAGACGATATACATATAGAAATAAGGGAAATAATAAAAAGAATAAAAAAATAAAAATATCGCGTAAAAGTGAAATGTCTTTTATTGCCGTAACCCTTCATCATTCTATTTTTTAAATTTCTCATTAATTCTTACGAAGATAGAGAACCATTCGGTTAATCTCCTTTACCTACATATGTGCGGCTATTATCGGACACTTTGTGCGTGGAAGTGTGTGTATATGTGTATACATACACAAAAATTTTACATTTTAAAATATCTATACATAGTTTTCTTGAACAATTTATTTTAGGGAAAACGGTTTTGATAAATTTGTATAATATCTAACGAAAAACAAGGGAACACTACTGGCTTTTTTTTAAAGAATAATTGCCAAAGTTATTTGAAAATCATTTAAGTTTTTTTTAAATGGGTCTACTTTAATTTTTTTATAAATCGATTTCTCGCAATATTCATTATGAAAACAATAAGTTGTAAGAATAAGATAATCACAAAGAGAATATTTAACAGAGTATTTTACATTAGAGAAAAATAGGTGAGAAAAATATAAGTTTTCTTTATATGTAAATTCGAGATTAATTTATATATGGAACTTAGTAATCTCAAACCAAGAGATACAGTTCCGAAAAATTAATTTTTCGCGCTTGGGCTCTATTGACCGATTTAAAAATTCATGTATTATAAATTTAAATATTAATTAAAGAATATAGATATACGTATCAACACACGGACATAAGCGCGCGCGTGAGTGTGTGTGTGTGTGTGTGTGTGCGTGTATGTCTGTACTATTATAAAATTAATATTTAATTATAATCCGTATATATAGAGAATTAATTATCTTATAACTTTACACATATTTTTATAATATTAATAAATGAAAATTTTTACGGACTATTTTATTATATTACGTTATACCTCTGATGAATTTGCGAATTGTCAATAAATTGTCATCTGATGAAGTAGAATTCCACGTATGAAAATCACCATCCAAATAAAAAGAAATATGTTGATTTTGAACAACAAATAAATTTATTATTCGATTATCTGGATAAATCTATAGGAAAAATAATTAATATATTGATATAACCGCTCTGAAAAAAACTTGCATTAGAAACAAATACTAATATATTTAGCGTTACTTTCATGTTAAAAAGAAATAATACTTTTTCATTTTGAAAAACATTCATGTACATAATAATAATCAAATCTAAAATTTTGTATTAATATAATTAGCAAATATTACATATTTTTATAGAATTATTATCTCATATTATATTGCAGATTTCTCTTTATCAAACTTATTTAAATAATATAGTGTGTACTAATTTTTTATTAATTTATTTTATTTTAGATTTCATAAAAATTTGAAAATATCTAATAAATTGGTGTTAAAAAAATTTAAAAATTTTTAATATTTTACATTATAATTATATGTATGTAAATATTTGAAAAAAGTATTTTTTATGAAACAGTTTAGTATTACATATAATAATAAACTGTTTTTGAGATAATTTACATAGAATTTATACATTTTGCAAAAAGAGTTTAATTTACGAAAATCTTGCAATATAAATGCTTAAGTATTGCATCGTTTCCGAGAAACTGGGAACGAGATTGCGTTAAAAATATTTAGAACAACCTTATTAACACCATACGTTGCAATCAATGTAATAAGACCTTTATTAAGCCACAATTCTGACTGATTGTTCATTAGATCATAAAACCATTCTTGTGCCACTTTACATCCTACTAACTGAGCTATTTCGATGTCGTGAGCAACGGGATATAAACCTTTACTGCTGATGATATCTGTTTCCCTAAAAATTATATTTGAATGTTAAGATTGAGAACTTTCGTAGAAAATAAATCTTTATTTCTGTTACAATTTTTTAATTTTATTATTAGCGGTACGATTTCCAAATTTATGGGTATAATTTAGCAAACCAGTATTGTAAATCGTACCAACTTTAACATTTACCTTAGGGGATACGATTTATTTAGCATACAAACTTTCCCTTTATGTATATATGAAAACGATAAACTTCAACTTTTTAAATTATACTTACGAATAAACTTAATTTTTATTGTTAGTACTTAAAATTGTTTGTTTTCACAATTTCTGTTATTTTCGAACGTTTACAGAAACAAATGATATACTTGTTTTTAAATTTTATTTTGCATACTATAATATAATTTTATTTTTAATGTAATTTTAAGCACTTGTACTCACTTATAAATAACAAGTCCAAAAAGTGTTATGTCATTGTCATGGAAATTTGGAATTGCAACATGAGTCACATTTGAAATATTTTTCGAACGTTGATACCATTTATTTTTGAACAACAACGTGATATTTTCAGCTAAATTTTTTGCAAATTCCAGGTGAAATCTAGATTCGTTTCTGCACCACATTTGAATGTTTGAAGTGTCATTATAAATATGTAATAGGTCATTAGACACAATCAGTGTTGCAAGATAGGGCGATATTGCAGGTGTGGTATCGAAGTGTGTCCATAATATATTATGCTCATTTTTTTCCGTATTTTGCATTGGCATATTTGACAAAGCTGTGCATTGATTACATCCTATAGAAATGTTAAAGGTTGTTTCTAACAATGACTCCTGTTGATCCTGACATGGAGACAATCGGCCAGTTATCTGGAAATGCGTAGTAGCTATCCAACTACATTTCAAAATATATAAATTAATGAGACTTTTTTGAGAAGCATAAAAATATTGAAAATTAAAAAACCTATAAATGTTATATGCGTCAACGCATAATATATTATGACTTTATTATATATTATTATAATAATTAAAGGTAAAGATTATTCGTCTTTACCCCCATAGCGAAAACATCAAATGGTATCATAGTGATGTGTTCTGGATGACATAACGAAATGCGAATGTCCGCTTTGTCACAAGTGTAATGTCATAATGATATCATTGTGACATCACACTTGTGACAAAGCGGACATTCGCATATCGTTATGTTATGACATCCAGAACATATCACTATGATATCACTGATGTTTTTGCTATGGGGGTATATATAAATTTCACGATATATAATAATTCTTGGGATATTTAATACATAAATAGTACATTTAATTACAATGGCATATTAATTAAAATAATATATTAATTACAATGTTTTATATTATTGCACATTGTACTTTTTTTAATAAACATTTATTATTTACTTACATATCTTTTTTTTTCACGTTAAAAATTGAGAAACTTTTATTAATCTCATAATATTTTATATTTAAAGTGTAATCTCCTAGTGATAAAACATCCATGAAGAAAAGAGTAATTTTGTCTTTAATAATTTTATATGTCAGTTTATAAGTTATTGTATCTTTATCATTCTTATGAGAGTTTTCTAAATTTTTAAATAAAACTATATCATTAATACATAATTTTGCTGAAGATAAATATATGTATTTCGTTTTTTTAAGAATTCTTATGCTGATATTGTATTCTCCATGGAAAATATTTCCTTCATTAAATGATATAAGCTTGATATCGTAATGGATTGGTTTTATATTTTTTGATGGTTGATAGCATAAAAATTCATTATGAATAGAAGCCGTCTCAGCGATAAACATTATTCCGCTACTTAATAATAATTTTAAAAATATCATCTTTTCAGAGAAAAGGAATATTTATTTTAGATCTATAAAACACAAAAGATAAATAGAAAAATTTAATACAGTTTTTGATGTCTGTTTTAAATCAATTTTGTATATAAACAAAAAAATAAGTTCAAAAAGTATTAAACTTATTAAAATTATATATACATATATATATACATATATATATATATATATATATATATATATATATATATATATATGTATGTATGTATGTATGTATGTATGTATGTATGTATGTATGTATGTATGTATGTGTACGTATGAATTTCAATGTCGCACATATTGTAATTGACAGCAATATACAAAAATTAAATTAACAGTACATATTTGATATTTTCTTCAAATAATTAATCTCATTTTTAAAAATTATATACATTTAAAATCTATAAGAATATAAGTTAGAATATAAAGATTTATAGAATATGAAGTTAGTTGTTCAAAGCAAATTACATATAAATGTAAGTAACAATAAACACAAGACCCGTTATTCCTACATATATAAAAACCTGTGTTTATTCAAAATAAGAAGACAGTAGGCATAAGAAAGACTATAAGGAAGGAAAAAGCACATGTTTATTATTTTCCTTTAAAAGTATGTGTTACTTTTACTCGTAAATTGTGTATTATAAACTCTAAACGAACAATCATCGAGAATAAAATCAACATAAAATTAATAATCTTTATCAATGTTCATTTTATCAAATCTTTCTAATTGAAATATTTTTTTATATATTAATTATCACTATCAATATACATGTAACATTATTGTGTTTAACTGTAAAAGTAAAAATTTAATTTTAATTATTAAATTTAATTTAAATATCTGAAAACATTTCAACTTTAATAAAGTACCTTATTAAATCGATATAAACTATTGTTTACATATACATTTTGACCGTTTTATATAAAATATTTTATGTAAAAAATTTTACGTATAATATATAGTAATATTTAGTATTCTGTCTATTTCTAACTTATATAATTAATATAGTTCTACTTATTATTAAATATTATATTTACATTTATTTCTCATTTAACAAAATTAATTTTATACGATACCTCGCTCTTGTAAGAGGATATCACCTTTAAAAAAGGTAAAAAAAGGCAACCAGTTAAGGGCACGCCATTAACAAAAATTATCCATTGCAAACCCATGTAGAATCCTATCCTATTGCAAACCCATGTAGTATCCTATGAAAAATTAATCATTGCAAACCCATGTAAAATCCTAGGCAAAATTAACCATTGCAAACCCATGTAGAATCGTACCCATTGCAAACCTATGTAGAATCCTATGAAAAATTAACCATTGCAAACTCATGTAGAATCCTATGAAAAATTAACCATTGCAAACCCATGTAGAATTGTATTAAAAATTATCTATTGCAAACTTATGTAGAATCCTACATTGCAAACCCATGTACAATAGAATTGTATGAAAAATTATCGATTATAAACCCTTGTACAATCGTAACAAAAGTAATGAAATAAAAAAAAAATTGCGCCAAGTGAAAGTAGAAACTTGTACCAGTGGAAAATTAAAGTTGCAGACATATATAGAGTCGTATAATAAATCAGTAAAAATTTAAATTTGCAAATGTAGAATCGTACCATAAAAAAACTTATCTTTTAAAAAAAAATAAAACAAGATGCCAAGTCCATGCGCCATGTGAAAAAGAAATAAAAAAATTTTAGTTAAAAAAACTGGGCGCGCTGCTAAGTTTCAAAATTACAATGCACCTTAAAGTAACATTAATTAATTTAAACACAAAACATATTTTAACTGTAATGAGTTTAAAAGTAACAATTTAATTTTAATATTGTTAGAATATTATTTAGCAGCGCTCCCAGTTTTTTTAACTAAAATTTTTTTATTTTTTTTTCACAGTGAGTGAGTGAGTGAGAATGAGAGAGAGAGAGAGAGTGTGTGTGTGTGTGTGTGTGTGTGTGTGTGTGTGTGTGTGTGTGTGTGTGTGTGTGTGTGTGTGTGTGTGTGTGTGTGTGTGTGTGAGAGAGAGAGAGAGAGAGAGAGAGAGAGAGAGAGTTAGCCAACATAAACCCGCACGCTGCCGATATGGCGGAGCGCCACTATCGCCATCTGTTGTAAAACGTGCGAGATGGACAAAATTACCACTACATGCATCTTGCATGTGTTGTGTACGTGTGATATATGTGTGCGCATGTGTTGTATACGTGTGAATACGTGTAACACGATACTACTATGTATGCGTGGTCGATGATGATAATGATGATAATGATGACGGGGACGTTTCTTAATAGAAATTTTTCATATTTCGACTTTGCATTTATATATCTCTGCTTACAAATCACGTAGAGCAGAAATAAAGACACTTTTATTATATAATTCGAACTCAATCTATCGATTAAGTCTAGTATAAACTCGATTGCTTCAGCCATTATTGAGGATTCGAAATATTATAAAGACTCAAATGTCCGACTCGCGTTAAGATACACGGTGTCTCCGCTACGCCCTTAACTGGTCGCGAGACACTACCGCGTCTCTTGATATCGAATACAAATTGCAAGGAATTGTCTACTATTTTATTTTTCTTAACGTACACATACTCACACATAATCATCTCTCATATACTAATATACTCATACATAATCTTTAACAACAAAAATTAATATTTGATTCTTCTTCTTGATTATTAGTTATTCTTCTAACTTAAATATTAGCACCACTCAAAAATCATTTTAAATGTTAAAATATGCACAGATATTTTTTATAAAAAATATGTACGACAAATTTTATAAAACAGTATTTTAATAATTGAGTAATAAAAGAATAATTAAAAGTGTCTATTATAATATTTATTATCTGTTATGTAAATTTAACATATTTTTAAGTTTCAAAAATAATTTATTCGATATAAAACTTTTGTGCGCCTAAGATTATTTCAACATAACAATTCGTAAAATATTATAATATCGACATTATTTGAAATTATCTCTGAATTAAAATTTAAAGAAAATTTTAAATAGAATTATTCTCTTATACTTATATGTTGGTAATTCTTTAAAATTCCGTTATACTGTACGATAAAATTCTTTTGTATTTGTAGACAAATATATATATTTTTTATTTTTAACTTATTTTGACTTACCTTTTATTTCGAAACAGTATGGTAATTGCAAAAGTATGTTGATAAAAATTATATTTGTTTAACAATTAACTGCTACAAATTGATACTCTAGCAGCATGCAATGTTGGAAGAATATAATATATTCACACACACTTTATTACACAAATATTATATTTATCACGATGTGCTCCGAAAGATCACTACAGACTGACTGATTCTCTGTACGGTTCATCAAAATAAATATGATGTGTTAAGTCAACAAAACTTCTGAGGTCGTTATACATATACATATAAATATATTTGTGTGTGTGTCGGCATTTATATAGAACAGTTATCTTAATTAAGCAATTTCAAATTTTGGCCAATTAATCAAATAAATAGGCATTATTTACAAATTTATATTACTTATTCCGAAAAAAATAAAATATATCATATTTTATTTCTTATTAAATATAATTATAATAACAAATTTAATAATACGTGGAATGCCCCATATATATATATATATATATATATATATATGTTGTATATAGTCTAATTCCAGGTGGATATTTTCGCGATTTCGAGTCATCATTCGTGTAAGAATAATAAGAAAAATTTGTTATTTGCAAATGCATATTGTTTTTTTTATATAATTATATTTTTCTTGCATCAATTAATTTATCTCATTACTTTATGCAGGAAATTATTAGGTAAAATTATTAAAAAATGAATATATATTTACGAGATATTTCATATTTTTTTTATTATCAAGATAAAACATAATATATCTCATAAAGCATTCATTTTTTGACTATATGCAACTCTAACAATTTTTAATATTAAATACGAGGATTCGATTTAAATTTTTATATAAAACATTTTTGATAAAAGCTATGACTTTTGAGAAATTTTAACCCGAAAGTTAAAATGGGACACTCTGTTTTCTTATTTATATGTTGTTTGTTATAAAAGTTTATGATAATTTATAGATGTGTGTGTAATACAGATATTGATTATTGATTAAGACAAATATAACTTTTGTATTTAAATATTTAAATAAATTGTTTGCGCGTTAACATGTACGTTTGTGTTGACAAAAAATATTTACACTTAAGTTTTTTTATTAAAAATTTTTTTTTATTATATTATGCAATTGATCAGTCTAGACGATAAATTTTACGTTCTTAATTAATGGTTAAAAAATAATACATCATTCGATTAAATTGAAACAAGTTTGATGTTTGCATGTAAATTAAATTTTTTTCTATTTTCCTTGTAAACAAATGAATTTAATTGTAGAATATATACATAGTAATAGCTTTCTGTTAATTACTGCTTGTTATTCATCTTAAGTAGACTGCGAGATCAATAAATTATGTAAGGTTTTTTGATATCATACGTATCAAAATACAAATTAATTTTTTCACGTATACTTTTAATTCTTTATCACCATTCATTTTCAACGGTTTAGATTAATAAAATATATATCAAAAATATTTTTTTATCTATATAAATTAAAAAATACTTTAAATCTTAATTGTTATATTAAAAAAAGAATTCATTTTTTGGAAATGTAGAATATTTAATTATTTAATTTTTTTATTAATTCAAAATAGCTATTTTATTTGAACAACAATCAAGACATGATGTTAGATTTTTTACTTATGGCTGGTTTAGAGATTATAAATAAAAGAGCATATATTTCACATTAGAGTTTCAAATAAATAACTCATTACTTTCAATAAAGAGTAGAATATTATAGAATTAAATCACGCGTGTGTGTGTTTAGTAGAAAATTCGAGAAATCAAAAGAAAACAAAGAGAAATATGCAAATATCATTTATAATTTAATTTTATAATAAAAACTTATAAAATGTGTTTTATTTGAGTATTTATTATAAAACTTAATTAATAAATAAATGTGATATATATATATATATATATATATAATTTATATTTATACATTTGTATTTTTGTTTTATATCTAACAATAAAATATATATAGTAATATTATATGGTCTACTTGTGAATACAGGCAATAATATATATATAGTTGAACTACATCAAGTAAGTATACGCAAAGTAATAAAAAACTTGATGCATTTAGTCATAATGATTTGTAAATACAGTAGCATCAAATAGTAATATATCTAAATAAACAATAATAATTAAAGTAGTAAAGTAAATAGTACATACAATATAAAAAAATTATTCAAATGAAGTATGTCTGCTCATGCAAAGCTGCAATTTTTTATATTTTTCACCAAGGGAAAAATTTATCAAAATACTGTCTCTGTCTTTTGATTTGATTGTTGCGAATTGATAGCTTTCGTCGAATTTTGTGAGAATTCAGCAATATGTTCTAATATATATAAACAAAGATTTGCACAATGAAATCAATATATACTCTTTATATAATAAACAAAATAAATATAAAACATAAAATTAGTATTCAGAAATTAATAGGATAGAACTAAGTATGTGCCAGATAATCAGATAGTGAATTTGCCGGATAACAAGATAATTTGCCATCTTTGGCTATCGGATAAACGGATAATTACGCGAAGAAACTGAAAAATTAAATTTAACTATGTTATATAGTAAAAAAAGTTTTTTTTATAGATATGTGTACATTTGTTACTATTTCACATAATTTAACTATTATTAATAATGAACAAATTGACAAAAGCTATTTTACGAGCTAAGTATTGGATGGAATTTGTTTTAAATTATACATCTATAATCCTAAGATGTGGGACGTTTCGACGCTAACTTGCGTCTCTTCAGCAACAATATATTAAATTTACAAAAAGTTGTTACAATATCACTTCTTCTTTATGGTGTCAAAGTATAGACAGGTGTCATTTGAAAGTATCTGTTACAAACAATAGATATAACTTATATAAATTTGCCACTAAATAACTTACTTAATCTTAGTAAAACACACTCACTAAATTAATTAATAGGAAGAAAAATCAAATTTTATACTTTTACTTTAATAAATACGACATATAGGTTCTCAGAGTGTCACACATTTTTAACCCAAACTTATATACACCTTCATACCTTGAAGGACAGATACGCAATGAGAAGAAATATTTTTCAGTATAAAGAGGGAAAGAAAATCGTGAATGCGCATGTGTGATGAAAAACAGCTGAGATTAAAATATTCAAACTTTATCACTCACTAAATTAATTAATAGGAAGAAAAATCAAATTTTATACCTTTATTTTAATAAATACGACATATAGATTCTCAGAGTGTCACACATTTTTAACCCAAACTTATATACACCTTTATACCTTGAAAAACAGATACGCAATGAGAAGAAATATTTTTTAGTATAAAGAGGGAAAGAAAATCGTGAATGCGCAAAATGTGTGATGAAAAACAGCTGAGATTAAAATATTCAAACTTTAGTTAAGCCATCCAGAACCGGGAAATACATTTTATCTAATGAATCTAAATCTTCGATTACATTCAAACCACTTTTTTGTAATATGACATAACGAATTTTATTCAGCACATTCTTAATATAAGTTTTCCACCAGCTAGGAGCAATATAAAAAATAGTTTTAACTTATATAACACTTTGTCTAATATGGAAATCGACGATTCTTATATTTTATCGTCTTTTAATGTTGTGTCTTTATTTACCAATGTACCGGTAGATTTAGCTATGTTAGGTATTGAAAACATGTGGTCGTACATAAAAGACCATACTAATATTCCTAAAGATGAGTTCTTAAACTTGACACGATTTATTCTTCACTCCACATCTTTTAAATTTGATAATAGAATTTTTAAACAAACATTCGGTACTCTAATGGGCTCTCCATTATCACCAATTGTTGCTGATATCGTACTACAAGACTTGGAAAATAAAGTTCTTTTTAAAATTGACAAATATATCAAATTCTATTACCATTATGTAGACGATATATTAATTGTTATTAAAAAAGATTATTTACAGTTTGCTTTGGACATATTTAATTCTTTTCATGAAAGACTGAAATTTACGTGTAAAGTTGAGTTAAATCGTAGTATAAACTTTTTAGACTTAAAGATAATTGTTGAGAATAATAAGTTAACTCTTGATTGATTTCATAAAAACTCTTATTCAGGAAGATATTTATTTTTTTACTCAAACCATCCAAATTGCCATAAAATAGGTTCAATTTATAGTCTGATTGATAGATCTGTATTACTCTCCCACCCAAAGTTTCATCAAAAAAATATAATATTCAGTATTAACACTCTATTAAATGATAGTTATCCTATTCCTTTTATTTTTAAACATGTAAACAAAAGATTAAATTATTTATTGTTTACAAAATTAAATTACAACAAATTAAAAAACATTAATAAAAAAGAAGACAAAAAGTTTATTACATTTCCATATATTAAGGGTCTCACTAAGAGTGTTTGTAAATCTTTTAAAAACACTGAATTTACTATAGGTTTCAGATGTTTTAACAGACTAAATAAGTTTATTAAGGTACATATAAAGACACAATACCAAAAACAAATGAGAATAATGTAATATATAGAATTGAGTGTAAGGATTGTGAAGCATCATACGTGGGACAAACTAAAAGAAAGCTAGAGATGAGAATCACAGAACACAAAAATAATATGGTTCAACATTATAGAAAACCTTCTGTTATTACAGAACATATAAGAAATTTTAACCATTCTATAAATTGGGAAAAAATTAAAGTCATGGATCATGAACCGAATTATTTTAAAAGATTAATTTCGGAAATAATCTGCATAAAAGAACAAAAAGTAGTTTGAATGTAATCGAAGATTTAGATTTATTAGATAAAATGTATTTCCCGGTTCTGGATGGCTTAACTAAAGTTTGAATATTTTAATCTCATTGTCAGCTGTTTTTCATCACACATGCGCATTCACGATTTTCTTTCCCTCTTTATACTGAAAAATATTTCTTCTCATTGCGTATCTGTCCTTCAAGGTATGAAGGTGTATATAAGTTTGGGTTAAAAATGTGTGACACTCTGAGAACCTATATATCGTATTTATTAAAGTAAAAGTATAAAATTTGATTTTTCTTTCTATTAATTAATTTAGTGAGTGTGTTTTACTAAGATTAAGTAAGTTATTTAGTGGCAAATTTATATAAGTTATATCTATTGTTTGTAACAGATACTTTCAAATGACACCTGTCTATACTTTGACACCGTAAAGAAGAAGTGATGTTGTAACAACTTTTTGTAAATTTAATATATTGTTGCTGAAGAGACGCAAGTTAACGTCGAAACGTTCCACATTTCAGGATTATAGATGTATACGTAATTTAAAATAAATTCCATCCAATACTTAGCTCGTAAAACAGCTTTTGTTAATTTGTTCATTATTAATTTATTAAAACAAGCTTTCAATATTATATTTATTTTATAACTATTTTATGTTGATAATATTGATGACTCATTCAAATCATTTAAACGTTTAAAATTAATCCGGCGTTAATATCTTGCTACACAATTAATATCATAAATTGAAGATGCAGAACTATTGAAAAGATGCAGTACTAATTGTTAAATAATAATCTTAGATATAATATTTCAAATTGATTACATTACATTATATATATATATATATATATATATATATATATATATATATATTATTATATAAACATATAAAAATTTAATAATTATAATAATTAAAGTTAAAATTAAACATATAAATTAAATGAATGAATAATCTCGTTAATTTATAAATTAGAGATAATAAAACAACATGAGCCTATTACGAGCTAACAATAGCTCGTAATAGGCTCATGTTGTTTTATTATCTCTAATTTAAAATTAAACAATAAAACTAAGTATTTTTAATTACATTGACTAAAATAACATATTTTAATCTGTAATATATCTGTATTTCATTAAACGTTCGATTAATTTAACTAAATAAATAAATATTTTTATCAGTCATTTTTAATTTGTATACAGTTATTGTGAATGCGAATTAATTTTTGTTCGGTTTATGTAAATTTTTTAACATTTTATTTTAATTTATTATTCATTATATTTAACATTTTAATATCGAATCACTAGATCGATTGGATAGTGCAAAATAATTTAAATAAGCGATTAGTACTGAATAGTCGGATACTTACCGGATAGATTAACTATCCGGCTATCCAGCCGGATTGTAAAAAAGCTCGATACCGGATACTTATCGGACATCCGGCACATCCCTAGATAGAACAAAATTTCTTTTTCTTTCGCTTTTTATAATAATATTTACTAAATTTACCTTTCCTATTCCATCAGTTGGGTTTGCGTTGACCTTTAATAACCTTTCAACGTATCTATTTATACGCTAAAATATATTATTTTTTAGTATTATCAAAATTATTTTAAACATTAAATAATAATTATTAATATCGCATTATTATCACATTTTGTATACATATATAAACAAGTAAAACTTTTACCTGAGTTCGATTTTCAGAATATACATTATTAATAATAATAATAATTAATGCTGCAGTTATATCAGCATGTCTAAAAACGAAAAAACAAATGTATATATAATACATATAATAAACTTTTATATAAAAATTTATAAAAATATGTCACATTACTTTATTTTTATGTCGTTAAAATGATATAATATGTACTCCAGTATAATTTGATTCTTCGCATGCTTTGTAATAACATGTAAGAAACTGTTAAGAAGATATTGATATTCCTGTTCTGTAGAATTTTGTATATAATCTAAATAATTGATGATGACATCAGTATTCTCAGGGCAAGCCAAGTATTCTAAAAATTTAGTGTCCAATTTTTTCAATCCTATATCATACATTAATTTCCAAATGTCATCTTCTACTTCTTCCCACACTTTTCTTTTCTGGTAATAAAAAATGTTTATGAAATATTTGGTAATTGCTTTCAAACCTTTACAATATGTCCATTCTTTCCACCATGGCAGAAGTCTAAAACATAACAAAAAATTAAATTTTTGTATTAAAGATTAGTATATGAATATCTTGATCAAATCATTTGAACATTATAAACGATACTTACAGAAGAATTTGATTAGAAAAGGCTAAAAATATCTATATATATACAGGGTGTCTGGTAACTAACGGACCAACGATTACAAATGGATTCTTTGGTTAATTTGGGAACGATTTTTCCTAAGCGAAAATGTCGAAAAAAGTCATCATTTTTTACAACTTTCCAATATTTGTCATTATGTATCTTTATAAGTAAGCCTCAAATTAAAATTTTATCATAGTAAACTCTACCTGAAATTAACTGAAGAATGTAATTATGTTAGACTTTTAACTCCAAAACGTTTAGTTTTCAAAAAACCCATTTTTTTCAATCGCTTATAACTCGAAAATTATTGACTTCTCAACATTTTTACTAAGGAAAAATCGTCTTCAAATTAGCCAGAGAATCCACCCTTAATCATTGGTCCGTTAGTTACCGGACACCCTGTATATATAAGCACCGTCTGTCTGTATGTCTGTCTGACCGTGAACTACTTTCACATTTATGAACCGATTTTCGTGAAACAGATACCAAAATGTTACAAATTTTTTCGGGGATGAATGTTATGTGGTTTTTTTTTAAGTTTTACACTCCCACCCACGCACCCACCCACGCAATTGCATATTTATGGATTTGTTCGAAATTGGTACTAAAATTTTGCAAACTTTTCAGGAAGTGTAACGATGTGATTTTTTCTTAAGTTTCCATCCATCCACGCATTCACAAATTTATCGCATGAAAATATTTTTCAAAGATGGTGACGATATAGGTTTTTAATTTTTACACCAGTACTCACGCATCCACCCACTCATTACCCACGCACCCATCCACGCAATCGCATATTTATGGACCGAAAAAATTTAAAAAAAATAATAATAAAAGATAAAAAAAATTTTAGTACTTGTTTCACGAAAATCAGTACATAAGTGTAAAAGTAGTTCGCGGTCAGACAGGCAGACATACAGACAGACTTAAAAAGTCTAAAGAGTACTTAAAAACCACATCGTCGCACACCCCGAAAAATTTGCAACATTAAAGGAAATCCGAAATCTTTTACGACAAATGTTGTATACAAAGAGGTTTTGTAAAATAAAAAATTGTGTGAAAACTAATAATAGCGGGGTCAGTGTTGGGAAACTAGGCTTTGAGGCGTTTTGCGCGGGTCGAAAAGGCTAGTATAACAATATTTACTTGTGTTTTGTAGGATCTTGGAGATGTTGGCTTAAAATTTTGTTGGCTTCTTTCTTACAATCAATGTCACCGAGAAAACATGCCCATCTTGCAGCTTCTTGTCGTAAGCATATTCTAAGTTCGTCACTATCATCAATTTCATCATATTTAATTATTTCAAGTACTTTATGCAATGCTCTTATTACTGTAGACTAAAAATCGTTCAATATATATTTCTTTGTTCATATTATTATTGTATTTAAAAATTATTATATTTTTCTGTTATTTATCAAGAGATTCTTAAAATTTTCTCTTTTTATAAAATAAACATACATATGTACAAATTTACTTATAGACGCGAAAGTTTACCTATTAATACGTTCAAATATATACATATATGTACATGTATGCTAAATATATGGTTTAATTTGTACAAAATGTTTATAATATTTAAAAGATATTAAAGTTTCATAACTATTTATTAATTATATTTTATTTTTAAATAAGATAAAAAATATATATCTTTTTGAGATATATAATAAATTTTTTTCAACTATTTATGTTTTAATTTTTATTAATTACTAACATTGTAATATTGATATGAACTCAATATAATTGCATTTATTGACAAAAATTTTAAGCACTGCTATATATATATATATCTTTTCTGTGTATTTAAATTATATGTGCTCAATGAGTGTATATGCAAATATTTAAAATGTAATATTTTCATTGAAATTTATTAATATTTACCGTAATATGTTCATCTATTTTTGTCAATATTGGAAAAGTATTATACATGTATTCCAGAGCTTTAAACATAGGATACCATGCTATATAATCTTCTTCTCGATGTAAATACTTTATGATATCCCAGAATATACGGGATTGGAGTTGGCCTGCTATCATTAAATGAAATGCATCATCGATAATTTGAGCACGATTAAGAACATGAATTTTCGTGTAATCACCAAAATTTAGATAAATTGAAATTCTTTCCCAATTCTCATTATCATAGTTAACGCGATAATATCCTGTTGAATAATAAATAAATTTCATCAATTTTTTGTTTTTAATAATTTTATCATTAATATATATTTATTTTCAAACTTATTTCAATTTTTGTTTCATACTTTTGTTTATATAAATTATAAATTTAAAAAATATCAAAAATTTAATACATATAAATAAAATTCAAATATATATATAGCAGACCCGTAACTAGCCTATTATATCAGGGGGGAGCAAATAAAATCCCAAATAGAGGGCAGTCTCAAAAACTTTTTTCTAATGCACAAAAAATACATTATTTTTTATTATTTATTAAATATCAATAAAATATAAAATATAGCAGTAATATATATATATATATATATATATATTACAATTAAGTAAATATTAATATTTTAAAATAATTGTAATTTTCGAGCTATTTCGTTGAAAATTCGTAAGAAAACATTTATATCGATTGCTTCAGTTTTCTTTTTTTTAAAAGGTAATATTGTTAGATTAGCTTCCCGACCAAACAACATAACTTGTCTGTGTGGCGTTAGCACTCTATTTAAAGTAGCCAGGAGGGGCAAATAAAGATGCTAGAGGAGGGCATTGCCACCATTTGCCCCCCCCCCTCTTGTTTACGGGCCTGATATATAGAAAAATAATTATAAAAATGTCATCTTAATACTTGAAATAGTAGAGAAAATGTAACTGTGCAAGATATCGTTATACATCAGAAAATAAAACTATGATTTTAGTTGTGCATAAATAATAATTCTTTTATGCTAATCAATATAATTGCCGTAAGATATAACGTTACAAAAATTGTATGTTAGCTGCACTTATTATTATTAATTTTATAAATATAATTATTTTTTAAATGATTTTTACTAATTATTTGAATAAAATATTTGTAAAAATATAACATTAATATTGAACGATATTATTTAGCAAACGCCTAGGTATATCTTGTACATATAATATATATATATATATATATATATATATATATATATATAATATATATAATGCAGAATATTACACCAAACATTTTAAAACTATTATTATAGTTATAAAATAAATATCTCGGATTTTTATAGGACTACGAATAAAATAGATAAAAATATAAAATAATGTCAATTATGTGTGTGAAATAAGTCATAATGATTTGTCGATATTTACCAATTTGTTGTATATTGAATATCATCCAACCATGTTCTTTATATGGTAATGATAATTTCAATGGTACTAGTAAACGTTTAATTTCCCATCGCTTGCATAACAAATGATGAGTAAAATTGTTAAAATCGGGAGACGTTTGCGTAGTAAAAGTTATAGGAATGCACTCAATTTTTAATGTGTCGATATTTTCTATCCATACAAATGTTCGATTCTTAGGATCATCATAATTTCGTTCTACTTTAATAACAGGACAATGCTTTTCCAAATCCCAGTTTTTCATGTGCGAGATGTGTCCAGCAATATATATATTTATTGTTGAAGCAACATCTTTCATAAGCTCCATAAAGTCTAGATGGTGTGATGAGCTAAATTTACAAAGTATGTAAAATATATTAAAAAACATTACAAATATGTTAAAATTGTGTGTATATTGTTCATATTATAAAAAAATTTAATAAATACTAAGAAACAAAATATAAAATTGAATTTCCACACAATTATTTATTTATATATCTTATATTTATATTCTGATAATAAAGAATATAACTTGTAACAGTAAAATTGTGTAGCTCTTGTCGCCAGGAATAATGAAAATTATAAATCAAAGTATTTAAGCCACGAAATACATTAATTTTAACATATTGTTTGTTTAATTACGCAGTGCTAAGTTTTTTAATTTTTTAATTTAAAAAAATTTTTTATTTTCTAATTTTTTTTTAATTTTTAATTTCTATATATTTTTAAAAATTTTTAATTTCTATATATATATTTTTTTAAATTTTTTAATTTCTATTTTTTTTATTTTTAATTTTTTTAATTATTGCAAATTTTTAATATTATTTTTTGTAGGATGTAGGAAATTGAAAAATTATTTTATATATAACCTTTTTGGTTAATTAAATAAAATTAAAATATTTTAAAGTTTTTATTTTTATTTAGCATAACTTTTTTATATTATTAATTTTTGTAGGATAGGTTTTTACAAAGACATTACGCGGACTTAGCACCTAAAACTAGTACACACATATGTGCGTAAGCATATATACAATTTACAAAAAGTGGGTGCTTATTAGTCTTGCTACGTTACTGCCTTCTACTACGGAAGGCCAGAAAGTATTTTCAGGCCGTATCTCGCGTATACCGGCACGATAGATGAACAAAGATAACACATGATTATCGGTTCTTGTCTCTCTACAGTGCGTCCGCGTGAGCAATGCAATGGTGTATGTACGTGTACAGACATGCACCACTACATAAAACCCGAGAATTGATTTCTCAGCGTTGGCAACACTGGAAACAGAGTTTCGCGTTGTCAACGCGTCAGGTCTCTAATATCAATTCGGAGTCTGGCCAGGCCTTCTGCCGACCCTCAAATAGAAATATTATGAAATAATGTCAGAAAAAAACAAAAGAAAATAAGGGACATTATATAAAAATTTTATTATTATACATTATTTACGTTCCACAATTTTATTTTTTTTATATTACATTCTATATTGTATTACTCACTTGTTATCTAAATATGTGTTTATGCCTATCTGAAATATTTCTTCTGTGAGGACGTGTTGCATCATGCGCAGTATAAATGGTGCTATAATTTACATCAAAATTATGAATTAAATATATTATAAATATATATTAACTATAATAGTTACTTATAAATATAGTGATTTAAAATAAAATTATATTGTATATGTATAAAGGGTAATTGCCGCGGAAGAGTAAAATGTTTCTTTATTGCCGTACTTTTTATCATTCTATTTTATAACTATATTTCTCGTTAATACTTACGAAGATAGCAAAACTTTAAAGGACCATTCAATTAATTCCCTCTATCTACATATGCGCGGCTATATTACCGGACACTTTTGAGTGAGTGAGTGTGTGTGCTGTGCGTGAGCGTGTGCGTGAGCGTGTGCGTGAGCGTGTGCGTGAGCGTGTGCGTGAGCATGTGCGTGTGCGTGTGCGTGTGCGTGAGCGTGTATTTGTATGTGTGTGTGTGCGCGCGTACTTTTATAAAAATAAAATTTAATTAAAATCCAGATAAAGAATTAATTATTTTCTAACTTTACATTTTTTTTTAAATAATAAGAGTTAAAAATTTATGCGGACTATTTAATGTAGAATCCTATGAAAAATTAACCATTGCAAACTCATGTAGAATCCTATGAAAAATTAACCATTGCAAACCCATGTAGAATTGTATTAAAAATTATCCATTGCAAACTTATGTAGAATCCTACATTGCAAACCCATGTACAATAGAATTGTATGAAAAATTATCGATTATAAACCCTTGTACAATCGTAACAAAAGTAATGAAATAAAAAAAAAATTGCGCCAAGTGAAAGTAGAAACTTGTACCAGTGGAAAATTAAAGTTGCAGACATATATAGAGTCGTATAATGAATCAGTAAAAATTTAAATTTGCAAATGTAGAATCGTACCATAAAAAAACTTATCTTTTAAAAAAAAAGATAAACAAGATGCCAAGTCCATGCGCCATGTGAAAAAAAATAAAAAAATTTTAGTTAAAAAGACTGGGCGCGCTGCTAAGTTTCAAAATTACAATGCACCTTAAAGTAACATTAATTAATTTAAACACAAAACATATTTTAACTGTAATGAGTTTAAAAGTAACAATTTAATTTTAATATTGTTAGAATATTATTTAGCAGCGCTCCCAGTTTTTTTAACTAAAATTTTTTTATTTCTTTTTCACATGGCGCATGGACTTGGCATCTTGTTTATCTTTTTTTTTAAAGGATTCTACATGAGTTTGCAATGGTTAATTTTTCATAGGATTCTACATAGGTTTGCAATGGGTACGATTCTACATGGGTTTGCAATGGTTAATTTTGCCTAGGATTCTACATGGGTTTGCAATGATTAATTTTTCATAGGATTCTACATGGGTTTGCAATGGTTAATTTTGCCTAGGATTCTACATGGGTTTGCAATGATTAATTTTTCATAGGATTCTACATGGGTTTGCAATAGGATAGGATTCTACATGGGTTTGCAATGGATAATTTTTGTTAATGGCGTGCCCTTAACTGGTCGCCTTTTTTTACCTTTTTTTAAAGGTGAGTTTTTAGAGATTATATCATTCATTTTTGTATATTTTTATGACCGGAATAGAACAATTATTAAACATGTTTATCTAAACTTCTTTGCTTAAAATGATGTGTACAATCATATCCTAGAATCCTGATCATTCCTCCTAAAGCACCCTATTTATATAAATTTACCCATATGTGTGTGTGTGTGTGTGTGTGTGTGTACTAATGTCGAGCATTTTTTATACATTTTCTATTAAATTTAGATAAAAGTTGCAGGATTTCGAAAAAGAAAAAGTTGACACAGACTTTTTCCTAAACGGCGATTTTCAAGGTTATTTAAAGGTCACTTATATTTTCAAAATAGAATTACCTTAATTTTTCTCATATAAATCGATTCCTCGCAATATTTACTATAAAAAGTTGTAAAGGTATAATTTTTACATAATCTTACATAAACTTCGAAATATTACAAATATTTTATTTTATGAAATATTTCAGTTTATGTAAAATTATGTTAACTATCTTTTAAATTATTCACTTTTAGCCATCTTACCCTTACAACCTTTTATAGTGAATATTGCAACAAATTGGTTTATATATATAATATATATATAACATCAGTTATTATTAATTGATGTTTACATTTATTTTTAGACTTACTAGAGCTCAAATGCTCCACATTTTTTGCAAAAACTGTTTATTCTACAGATTTCAAATATGCTTTTAAATGATGATTGAATATTTCCTTTTTTTAATTATTTTTATTATTATTTTTCAATCTCAATCAACTTTTATAACTTTATGCCAGCACGATACAAATACATGTGTCTTTATTTTTTTTATTATTTTCATTATTATTTTTCAATCTCAATCAACTTCTATAACCTTATGCCAGCAGGATACAAATACATGTATGTCTTTATTATTGTATCAACTCTTGTCTTTTCCATGTAACCATGTCTTCATAGTTTGAATTATCCCTTCATCTTCTCAATCTTTCGCAGAGATTTAATTAATTAAATACACTTCACACGAAATAAAGTTTGCTGGAAGATATACAACAAACGATAACTGTAAAAACATGATTACGTGGAAAGAACAAGAGTTGGTACAGTAAAGGCAAGTAAGTAAGTACATGTAATGTATCGTATTGGCATAACGCTATATCCGCGGAGCAGATAATGTGGCTGTAGAGGTAGTCTGCAGTGCAGCTAATGTGGACGTAGATGTTGATTGAGATAATTGTCTAATATAAAATAGAATTTAAAAATTTAGTTTAAAAAGCTGTTGCATATATAAATAAAGTTTATTTTTTCTAAATTTGGAATATGTTTAATTAATTAATTTTTTAAGTCTATGTTTAATAAATTTTTTAAGTCTGTATTCAATATTCATTTTATTCATTTGATAAATACATGTATGTCTTTATTTTGATATGTTTAATATAATTAGAAATTCATTATTAATTAGATATGTAAACTATAAATTCATATATAATATTTGAAAATATATGTAAATATTTAAATTTTTATCTTCTCCTTCCTCTCCTTCAATCTCTTTAATATCAATATGTGTATGTGTGTACACGCGCGCACATTTGTACGTATTTATTTAATTATTGGATAGTTGAGAGTACTTAATTGATAAAAAATTATGACAATAATAATCCTTTTGTTTTTTTTTTCTTATTATTTACTCAGATTTTTTTATCTATCTTATAAGATAAACACTTTAGAGATTGAATATTTCAAGTAAACTAATTGTAAGTAAATTTCACATTAATGCATATAGATGTTTAATCATGAATGTACTAAATAAGTACACAAGACGAACAATGAGTGAGTGAGTGAGAATGAGAGTGTGTGTGTGTGTGTGTGAGAAAGAGAGAGAGAGAGAGAGAGAGAGAGAGTTAGCCAACATAACCCCGCACGCTGCCGATAGGGCGGAGCGCCACTATCGCCATCTGTTGTAAAACGTGCGAGATGGACAAAATTACCACTACATGCATCTTGCATGTGTTGTGTACGTGTGATATATGTGTGCGCATGTGTTGTATACGTGTGAATACGTGTACCACGATACTACTATGTATGCGTGGTCGATGATGATGATAATAATGATGACGGGGACGTTTCTTAATAGAAATTTTTCATATTTCGACTTTGCATTTATATATCTCTGCTTACAAATCACGTAGAGCAGAAATAAAAACACTTTTATTATATAATTCGAACTCAATCTATCGATTAAGTCTAGTATAAACTCGATTGCTTCAGCCATTATTGAGGATTCGAAATATTATAAAGACTCAAATGTCCGACTCGCGTTAAGATACACGGTGTCTCCGCTACGCCCTTAACTGGTCGCGAGACACTACCGTGTCACTTGATTATACTACATACCTCTGATATAATTGGGTATTTCCAATGAACTATTAACTTTTGAAGTAAGATTCCACATATGATAATCACTATCCAAATTAAAAGAGTAATGTTGACTTTGAACAACATATAAATTTATTATTCGATAATCTGGATATTTCTATGGAAAAAAATAATTAATATATCGATATATCCGTTCTGAAGAGATACTTGCATTAAATACAAATAATAATATTATTAACGTTACTTCATTATTAAAACGAAACACTTTCTCATTTTGGGAAACACACACACACATTAAAATAAATATAATATTAAAATCTAAAATTTTGTATTACTATAATTAGCAAATATTACATATTTTTTAAATTATTGTCTCAAGATATTATATTGCAGACCTCTCTTTATCAAGTTTATTTAAATAAATATCGTGTGTACTACGTGTTTTTGATTAATTTATTTTATTTTTAATTTCATAAAAATTTAAATATAATAAAATAGTGTTAAAAAATATAAATTTTGAATAAATTAAATTATAATATTATATGTATGTAAATATATGTAAAAAAAGCATTTTTCAAAAAACAGTTAATTATTTTATATGTGTAATGTTAAACATTTTTAAGACAATTCACAAAGCATGCGTATAGATTTTGTAAAAAAAGTTTGATTTAAAAAGATTTTGCAATATGAGTACTTAAGTATTGTATTGTTTGCAAGAAATTGGAAGCGAGATAGCGTTGAAAATATTTAGAATAACCTTATTGACAGCATACGTTGCAAACAATGTAGTAAGACCTTTTTTAAACCAAAAATCTGACACTAACGGATTATTCATCATGTTATTAAACCATTGCTGTGCCACTTTTCGTCCTACTAATTGAGCTACTTCGATCTTGTGAGCAATAGGATATACATTTTTATCGTAGATGATATCTGTTTCCCTGAAAGTAATATTTAAATGTTAAGACTGAAAACTTTTATAGAAAATACAATTTTATTTTTGTTATAATATTTTAATTAAATTGTTAGATATACGATTTACAAACTCATGGGTACAATTTAGCAAATCAGTATTGTAAATCGTACCAGATAATATTCTCTTTAATTTTTAATTTAAGTATGAAAAAATGATTTTGTGTTAATGCATATATCATTGATAAAAAATTATAGTTTTAAATGAATAAAAAAATGTCATTATACTTTTATACCTTTATTACTATTTTAACATTTACCTTACGGATACGAGTTAGCACAAAATCTTTTTTTTATGTATATGTATACTATAACGATAAACTTCTACTTTTTGAATTAAATGAATAAACTTAATTCTTGCTATTTAAAATTGTTTGTTTTAACAATTTCTGTTACTTTTGAATATTTACAGAAACATAAAGAATATACAAGTTTTAAATTTGATAAATTTTTATACTAATATAATTTTGTGCAACCGGCGCGCGAAAAGTCGCCCTTTCCGCACATGATGAAATTTTAGAAAGAGCTTCCTTTCCACGTACCGGTCACACAAAATATCGTAGCCATCATGTACGATCCCCCGCACTTGTTAGTTAATAGTATATTAGCTAACAAGTGCGGGGGATCGTAAATCGGCCGAAAGTGCAGAAGTTTCGCGCACGAGGCGAAGCCGAGTGTGACAATTCGCACAATCGGCCGATTTATGACCCGCACATGTTGGCTACAATATTTTGTGTAATCGGTGCGTGGAAAGAAAGCCCTTTTTAAAATCCCATCATGTTCGTAAAGGGCGACTTTTCGCGCGCCGGTTGCACAATATACTATTATTTTTAATGTAATTTTAAGTTGTACTCACTTATAAAACACAAGTCCAAAAACTATTGTGCCATCGTCATGAAAATTTGGAATTGCAACATAAGTCACGTTTGAAAGTTTGTTCGAACGTTTCCATTTTTGTTTGAAAAACAACGTGATATCTTCAGCTACATTTTTAGCAAATTTCATGTGAAATCCAGTATTGTATCTGCACCACATTTGAATGTTTCGATTTTTCATATCAAGAAAAAATAGGTAGTTAGACATAACCATTGTTGCGTGATGAGTCAATATTACAGGTGTGGTAACGTAGTGTTTCCATACCAAATTGTACTCATCACTTTCTGTATTTCGCAATGGCATATGTGACAAAGTCGTACAGTTATGACATGCTAAAGAAATGTTAAAGGTTGCTTCTAACCAAAAATCATGTGGATGCCAACATGGAAACACTTGACGGGCGTCTACTATCTGGAAATGTGGAGCACCTACCCAACTACATTTCAAAGAACATAAATTAATAAAACTTTTTCACAAGCATATAAATATTGGGAATTAAAAAATGTATAAATGTTATATGCGTCGACACATTAAATTTTATGACTTTATTACATATTATTATATATAATAATAAAGGGGTAAAGATTCTTCACCCTTAGATTTAAATTTCGCGATATAAAATAATTTTTGGAACATTTAATACATGAATAGTATATTAATTACAGTGTCTTATGTAATTGCACATTGTACCTTTTTTAACGAACATTTATTATTTACTTACGTGGTTCTTTTCTTCATGTCGAAAATTCTGAAGCCTTTATCAGCAGTACCAAAGTATTTTATATTTAAAGTGTAATTTCCTGGTGATAATTCTTTCATAAAGGAAATATCAATTGGGTCTTCTTCAGTATCATATGTCGGTCTATAAACTGTTTCTTCATCATTTTCATGATATTTTTTGAAATTTGTAATTAAAACTATATTGTCAATACATAATTTTTCCGAATATAAATATATGTGTTGCGTTTTGTTACGAATGTTTATGCTGATATTATATTCTCCATAGAAAATATTTGCTTCAATAAATGATGTAAGCTTGATATCATAATGCATCGGTTTTATATATTCTGATATTCGATAGCATAAAGATTCATTACGAATGAAAGCCGTTACAGCAATAAAAATTAATCCGCTACTTAATAATAGTTTTAGCAATATCATCATGTCGAAGGAGAGAAATAATTATTTTAGATCTGTAAAACACTCTGTGGACAAAATATGAATAAAAAAATTAAATATAGCTTAGATGTCGTTTTTAAATGATTTTTGTATATAAACAACAAAATAAATATAAAAAATATTATAATTATTATTGAAAAACCATCCTAATTAGTAAAATATTATACGGTATGGAAGCAACGTGCAAATTTTTATTTGCACAATTTTTTAAAATAAAATATATATGTATATGTATGTGTGTATTTCATTGTCGCACAAATTTTAATTGACAGCAGTACAAAAATATTAAATTTAAAACATATTCTATATTTTCTTGAAATAATGGTTCTAATTGTCAAAAAATTATAAATATTTAAAATTTACAGATTATTATATAGAATATAAAGATTTATAGTATATAAACTTATATAGTTGTCTGAAGTGAATTACTTTTATAAACACAAGAGCCGTTATATCTACATACATATAGACCTGTATACATTCAAAATAAGAAGAAGTCAGTAGAGGTAAGAAAGACTGAGGATCGGCGAGAAAGAGAGAGTGAGAGAGTGAGAGAGAGAGAGAGAGAGAAAGAAAAAGAGCATATGTTTATTATTATGTTCCTCTAAAGGTCTGTTTGACTTCTTCTCTTAATACCATACATGTATTATAAACTCTAAACAAATAATCACCGAGAATAAAGCCAACATAAATTCAATTTCAAATTGTATAAATTATATACACTTGATAATAAATATTTTATAAGATGTCTTAAAACTAGCAATACAGCTGTTAAAAGAAGATATCTGAGATTATTTAGAGATTTCTACTCAACGAAAATGTCGAAGTACCAATAAATATCGAGTTATAAGAGATTGAAAATAAATGGTGTTTCGCAAACTAAGTCTTGTGGAAATAAAATATTAACAATATCACATTTGTCTATTAATATCGAATCAGGTATATCGTTATTGGAATTTTTATTTGAGGTTTAATTACAACATACATGATGGAAATTTTGGGAACATACAAAAAATGTTAGTCTACCTCGACATTTTTGCAAAGAAAAATTGACTCCAAATAATCATAGAAATTTACTATTAACAGATTTACTACTATTTCTAAGATTCCTTTATATATAATGCTGTTTTTTCAGATATTTCAGATTAAACGCATAAAAATAAATGTGTTTAATGATTGCTTCAAATCTAAAATATTATGGATTTCTTTATTCGATTGACAATTAGTATGTCTTGTCATTTTACTCGATAATATCTACTTAATAAATAATTATTAAAATGATCTCTAGATTAAAAAAGATAATTTTGAATTAAACTATTCTCTTTATTCTTATACATATGTTGAAATTCTTTAAAATTCCGTTATACTGTACGATTATTTTTTTTGTATTTGTAGATACATATATATTTTTATATTTTAAATTTATTTTGATTTATCCAATATTTCGAAACAGAATGTTAATTGGAAAATTATATTGATTAAAACTATATTATTTTAAAAATTACTTGCAGCAAATTAATGCTTTAGCAGTATGCAATGTTCGAAGAATATAATTATTCACACACACTTTATTACTGAAATATTGTCTCCACCACGATGTGATTCGAAAGACCACTAAAGACTGACTGATTCTCTGTACGTGTCATCATGATAAATACGATGTGTTAGGTCAACAAAGCTTCTGAGGTCGTTATACATGTATAAATATATTTGTGTGTGTGTCGGCATTTATATGAAACAATTATCTTAATTAAACACTTTCAAATTTCGGCCAATTAATCAAATACATAGGCATTATTTACAAATTTATATTACTTATTCCGAAAAAAAAAAATATATTATATTTTATTTCTTATTAAATATAATTAATAACAAATTTAATAATACGTGGAATGTTCCATATACATATATATATATATATATATATATATATATATGTTGTATGTAGTCTTATTCCAGGTGGATATTTTCGCGATTTCGAGTCATCATTCGTGTAAGAATAATAAGAAAAATTTGTTATTTGCAAATGCACATTGTTTGTTTTATGTAATTATATTTTTCTTGCATCAATTAATTTATCTCATTATATGCAGGAAATTATTAAGTAAAATTATTAAAAAATGAATATATATTTACGAAAAATTTCATATTTTTTTTAAAAAGAATATCAGGATAAAACATAAAATATCTCATAAAGCATTCATTTTTCGACTATGCAACTCTAACAATTTTTAATATTAAGTACGAGGACTCGATTTAAATTTTTATATAAAACATTTTTGATAAAAGCTATGACTTTTTGAGAAATTTTAACCCGAAAGTTAAAATGAGACACCCTGTTTTCTTATTTATATGTTGTTTGTTATAAAAGTTTATGATAATTTATAGATGTGTGTGTAATACAGATATTGATTATTGATTAAGACAAATATAACTTTTGTATTTAAATATTTAAATAAATTGTTTGCGCGTTAACATGTACGTTTGTGTTGACAAAAAATATTTACACTTAAGTTTTTTTATTAAAAATTTTTTTATTATATTATGCAATTGATTAGCCTAAACGATAAATTTTACGTTCTTAATTGATGATTAAAAAACAGTACATTATTCGATTAAATTGAAACAAGTTTGATGTTTGCATGTAAATTAAATTTTTTTTTATTTTTCTTGTAAACAAATAAATTTAATTGTAGAATATATACATAGTAATAGCTTTCTGTTAATTACTGCTTGTTATTCATCATAAGTAGACTGCGAGATCAATAAATTATGTAAGGTTTTTTGATATCATACGTATCAAAATACAAATTAATTTTTTCACGTATACTTTTAATTCTTTATCACCATTCATTTTCAACGGTTTAGATTAATAAAATATCGATCAAAAATATTTTTTTATTTATATAAATTAAAATAATAATTTAAATCTTAATTGTTATATTAAAAAAAGAATTTATTTTTTAGAAATGTAGAATATTATTTATAATTTAATTTTATAATAAAAACTTATAAAATGTGTTTTATCTGAGCATTTATTATAAAATTTAATTAATAATATATATATATATATATATAATTTATATTTATACATTTGTATTTTTATTTTATATCTAACAATAAAATATATATAGTAATATTATATGGTCTACTTGTGAATACAGGCAATAATATATATATATATATATATAGTTGAACTACATCAAGTAAGTATACGCAAAGTAATAAAAAATTTGATGCATTTAGTCATAATGATTTGTAAATACAGTAGCATCAAATAGTAAAATATCTAAATAAATAATAATATTTAAAGTAGTAAAATAAATAGTACATACAATATAAAAAATTATTTAAATAAAGTATATCTACTCCTGCAAAGCTGCAATTTTTTATATTTTTTACCAAGGGAAAAATCGATCAAAATACTGTCTCTGTCTTTTGATTTGATTGTTGCGCATTAATAGTTTTCTTCGAATTTTGTGAGAATTTATCTGCGATGGGTCCTAATATATACATATAAACAAAAATTTGCACAATAAAATCAATATACTCTTTATATAATAAACAAAACAAATATAAAATTAGTCAACAACTAAAAAGCAATAAGAGCTAATTAAATTCTATCAATTAGTAATTTATTTGTGAAAGGATGTATAACATATTAAATATCAGACAGAAATAAATTCGTTCAAACGTTTCGGTTGTCTTTTCCAACCTTCTTCAGCGTATACAATTAAAATTCGAAGTTAATAAAATTTAACAATAAATTACTTATAAATGTCATTATACTAAAACTATACAGAGTCAAGATATTTTATTTTAATTAAGCGAAAACAACGCATTTGTAAAGCATGAGCATTATTTATATATAAACTATTCTTCAAAACGTCATTATATGTGATTGTCGCGAAACGGACCTCTCACTAATTGTTCTGTAATTGTTAGGAAGTCGGTTGCGAATCTCGATAACTGCCATTGTTAATATGTCTATAAAATCATTATGTACGAAAATTAACAATGCAGATAAATAAAAATAAAAAATAGACTTACAGTTAAATCAAGTGAGATAAAATCTTTGACGTGAAGGCTTTCAGATGTTGATTGTTCAAGCTTGCTATAATTAACGAATGGTTCTAAACGCTCAAAAAGACGACCGCAAAGTGAGAAAAATAGTTCGTTGTTTATGTTTTTTAACTTTCAAATCTTAGATAGTCTATGTATAATATTGTCATAAACTACTGGCAAGCCATAAATATCTGTTTTTGAATTGAGACTGTTATTTTGCCTTTTTATAAATATCATTTCTGTAATCAATCTTTTGTTATAATGTAATTCTTTATCAAATACTTTTACATCGTCCCAACAAAATACATGATTATATTTTAATCTATGGTCAATGATTACAGATTTTTTTACAGAGACAACCGAAACGTTCGAACGAATTTATTTCTGTCTGATAATTAATATGTTATACATCCTTTCACAAATAAATTACTAATTGATAGAATTTAATTAGCTCTTATTGCTTTTTAGTTGTTGATTAATTTATTAAAAAGCTGTTACAAATTATATAAAATTAGTATTCAGAAATTAATAAGATAGAACTAAAGATGTGCCGGATAACCGGATAGTGAATTTGCCGAATAACCGAATAATTTGCCACTTTTGGCTACCGGATAAACGGATAATTACACGAAGAAACTGAAAAATTATATTTAACTGTGTTTTAAAGTAAAAAAAAGTTTATATTTATAGATACGTGCACATTTGTTACTATTTCACATAATTTAACTATTTTATGTTGATAATATTGATGACTCATTTAAATCATTTATACGTTTAAACTTAATGTGGCGTTAATATCTCGCTACACAATTAATATCACAAATTGAAGATGCAGTACTATTGATAAGATGCAGTACTAATTGATAAATAATAATCTTAGGTATAATATTTCAAATTGATTACATTACATTACATATTATATATATATATATTAATATATAAACATATAAAAATTTAATAATTATAATACTTAAAGTTAAAATTAAACAATAAAAGTATTTATTTCTAATTACATTGACTAAAATAACATATTTTAATCTGTAATATCAGTATTTCATTAAACGTTCGATTAATTTAACTAAATAAATAAATATTTTTATCAGTCATTCTTAATTTGTATACAGTTATATATGTGAATGTAAATTAATTTTTGTTCAGTTTATGTAAATTTTTTAACGTTTTATTTTAATTTATTATTCATTATATTTAACATTTTAATTTTGAATCACTAGATCGGTTGGATTGTGGAAAATAATTTAAATAATCGATTAATACTGAATAGTCGGATACTTACCGGCTATCCGGCCGGATAGTTAATCTATCCGGATATTATTTGTAAAAAAGTAGCCCAATACCGAATACTTACCGCGGATATCCGGCACATCTCTAGATAGAACAATATTTCTTTTTCTTTTGCTTTTTATAATAATATTTACTAAATTTACCTTTCCTATTCCATCAGCTGGGTTTGCGTTAACCTTTAATAATCTTTCAACGTATCTATTTATACTCTAAAATATATTATTTTTTTGTATTATCAAAATTATTTTAAACATTAAATAATAATTATTAATATCGCATTATTATCACATTTTGTATACATATATAAACAAGTAAAACTTTTACCTGAGTTCGATCTTCAGAATATACATTATTAATAATAATAATTAATACTGCAGTTATATCAACCTGTCTATAAAATCGAAAAAAACAAATATGTATATAATACACGTAATAAACTTTTTATACAATATTTAAAAAAGTATATCACATTACTTTGGTTTTATGTCGTTAAAATAATCTAATATGTACTCCAGTATAATTTGATTCTTCGCATGCTTTGTAATAACATGTAAGAAACTGTTAAGAAGATATTGATATTCCTGTTTTGTAGAATTGTGTATATAATTTAAATTATCAATGACGACTGTAGTATTCTCAGGGCAAGCCAAGTATTCTAAAATTTTTGTGTCCTCTTTTTTCCATCCTATATCATACACTAATTTCCAAGTGTCATCTTCTATTTCTACCCACTTTCTTCCGTGCTTAGTACGAACAATGTGTATGAAATAATGGGTAAATACTTTCAAACCTTTACAATATGTCCATTCTTTCCACCATGGCAAAAGTCTTAAAAATAACAAAAAATTAAATTCTCGTATTAAAGATTAGCATATGGATATCTTGATCCAATCATTTGAACATTATAAACGATACCTACAGAAGAATTTGATTAGGAAAGGCTAAAAATATATAACAACATTTACTTGCGTTTTGTAGGATCTTGAAGATGTTGTTTTAAAATTTTGTTGGCTTCTTTCTTACAATCGATGTCACCGAGAAAACATGCCCATCTTGCAGCTTCTTGTCGTAAGCATATTCTAAGTTTGTCACTATCATCAATTTCATCATATTTGATTATTTCAAGTACTTTGTGCAATGCTCTCATTACTGTAGACTAAAAATCGTTAAATATATATTTCTTTGTTCATATTATAAATGTATTCAAAAATTATTATATTTCTCTATTATTTACCAAGAGATTCTTCAAATTTTCTCTTTTTATAAAATAAACATACTTACAAATTTACTTATAAACGCGAAAGTTTATTAATGCGTTCAAATATGTACATACATGTATGCAAAAAATATGGTTTAATTTGTACGAAATGTTTATAATATTTGAAAGATATTAGAGTTTTATAACTATTTATTAATCATATTTTATTTTTAAATAATGTAAAAAATATATATCTTATTGAGATATATAATAAATTTTTTCAACTATATATATGTTTTTTTTATTTTTTATTAATTACTAACATTATAATATTGATAAGAAACCAATATAATAGCATTCATTGACACAAATTTTAAGCACTGCTATATATATCCAATAACAATGTTATATACCGCAATAATATTGGCAGTAGTGAAAGTCATAGACTTTTCGGACAGTTCTTCGGGTGAGTGATTATTTAAACTTAATTTGTTTGCGACGTAATAGTATGTAAAATTTTATCATTGCTCGATATATGGTATTTTTCTGAGTATTTAAATTATTTGTGATCAATGAGTGTAATATGCAAATATTTAAAATGTAATATTTTCATTGAAATTTATTAATTTTTACCGTAATATGTTTATCTATTTTTGTCAATATTGGAAAAGTATTATACATGTATTCCAGAGCTTTAAACATAGGATACCATGCTATATAATCTTCTTCTCGACGTAAATACTTTATGATATTCCAGAATCTACGAGATTGGAGTTGGCCTGCTATCATTAAATGAAATGCATCATCGATAATTTGGGCACGATTAAGAACATGAATTTTTGTGTAACTACGAAAGTTTAAATAATTTGAAATTTTTTCCTAGTTCTTATCATCATAGTTAACGCGATAATATCCTGTCAAATAGTAAATAAATTTTGTCAATTTTTTTTATTTTAATAATTTTGTCATCAATATATACTTATTTTCAAACTTGATTCAATTTTTATTTCATATTTTCGCTTATATAAATTATAAATTAAAAAAGTATCAAAAATTTTATACATATAAATAAAATTCAAATATATATAGAAAAATAATTATAAAAATGTCATCTTAATACTTGAAATAGCAGAGAAAATGAAATTGTGCAAGATGTTGTATATCAGAAAATAAAATTAATTCTAGTTGTGCAAATAATAATTATTTTATGCTAATCAATATAATTTCTGTAACATGTAACGTTACGAAAATTGTATGTTACCTGCACTTATTGTTATTAATTTCATAAATAATAATTATCTTTTTAATAATTTTTACTATTATTAGAATAACATATTTGTAAAAATGTAACATTAATATTAAAAAAGTAACACTTTTCTCTCGATTAATATTAAATGATATTATTTAGAAAACGCCTACGTATATCTTAAATATAATATTGTATATATATATATATATAATAATTCAGAATATTACACAATACATTTTAAAACTATTATTATAGTTATATAATGAATATCTCACATTTTTATAAGACTATAAAAAAATAGATAAAAATATAAAATAATGTCAATTATAAACCACAATATACACCTCCTCCTTCTCGATCATAGAGCCAAACGCGATGTTATTGCGAAATTTAAGCAAGAAAATTAAGAAATCTAGAAATTTGTATCCTATGGTTGGAATCTCAAAAATTCCTCTTGTTCCTCTTTTAACTTCCTCTGTAAAGAAATAGGCGAGAAAAATATTGGTCCAAAAGTTGGCTAAATCGAAAATCGAACCCGAAATATTGCTTAAATTTCGCAATAACATCGTGTTTGGCTCTATGGCCGAGAAGGAAAAGGTGTATATTGTGATTTATATTAAAAAAAGCCGATTTATAATATTCTTATTATTGTAATATCAATTATGTGTGTGTAATATAAAGACGGGAAATAAGTCATAATGATTTGTCGATATTTACCAATTTGTTGTATATTGAATATCATCCAACCATATTCTTTATATGGTAATGATTCTCAATGGTGCTAGTAAAAATTTAATTTCCCATTGCTTGCATAACAAATGATGAGTAAAATTGTCAAAATCGGGAGACGTTTGCGTAGTAAAAGTTATAGGAATGCACTCAATTTTTAATGTGTCGGTATTTTCTATCCATACAAATGTTCGGTTCTTAGGATCATCATATTTTCGTCCTACTTTAATAACAGGACAATGCTTTTCCGAATCCCAGTTGTTCATGTGCGATATGTGTTCAGTAATATATATATTTATTGTTGAAGCAACACCTTTCATAAGCCCCATAAAGTCTAGATGGTGTGATGAGCTAAATTTACAAAGTATGTAAAATATATTAAAAAACATTACAAATATGTTAAAATTGTGTGTATATTGTTCATATTATAAAAAAATTTAATAAATACTAAGAAACAAAATATAAAATTGAATTTTTACACAATTATTTATTTATATATCTTATATTTATATTCTGATAATAAAGAATATAACTTAATTTTAATGAAAATTTAATAATGTGACTTAATTTTTTAAACATTATTAGCATTGATACAGATAATATTTGAGCAAAATATTGAGAGAATTATAAAATGATTAGAAAGAGAAATAAAACAAATAAGACATTTAAAACAAAACAAAAATTTAAAAAATAATATAAAGGTGAGCGATTTACGAGAGAAGAAAATAAATATCGAGAAAGAAATGGAAAAAAGATATAAGTGTTACATATTTATAAACCTGTTAAATAAGATTAGAAAACAAATGTAGCACAAAATGCTAATTGCAAAAAAACAGATATAAGAATTATAGACGATATAAAGAAACAAAGGAAATAATAAAAAAAATAAAAATAATTTTAAAAGTTAGTTGAAAAAATAATTAATTATGAAAGAAAAATAAAACAACAATAAATATGCATATGAAAAAGTGATAACGATAAAATAATTTCTTTCTACAGAAACGATTTTCATAGAAAAAATAATGAAATTATAAATAATTCTAGTAGAAGATCTAGAAAAATAGCAGAATTGTAACATTAAAAAAACATGCAATAATATCAGAAGAAACGAAAGAAAATAAGGGACATTATATAAAACTTCTGTTATTATACATTATTTACATTGCACAATTTTATTTTTTTGATATTATATTCTGTATTGTATTACTCACTTGTCATCTAGATATGTGTTTATGCCTATCTGAAATATTTCTTCTGTAAGGACGTGTTGCATCATACGCAGTATAAATGGTGCTACGATTTACATCAAAATTATGAATTAGACATATTATAAATATATATTTACTACAATATAATTACTTGTAAATATAGTGATTTAAAAAAAAAAATTATATTGTATATGTATACAGAGTAGTTGTCGCGGAAGAGTGAAATGTTATTTGTTGCCGCACCTTTTATCATTTTATTTTATTTTATACTATATTTCTCGTTAATACTTACGAAGATAGCAAAACTTTAAATGATCATTCGATTAATTCCCTTTACCTACATATGTGCGGCTATATTACCGGACACTTTTGTGTGTGTGTGTGTGTGTGCGTTGGAGAGTGTGTATATACGGGGCATTATTTATGAATTAATCCACTCAAATTTTCAAAGTTTTTATATCACGCTAAAATTTGCAGAAAATGTAATTCTATCAAAAGTAAAATTATTTTTCAACTTATCAAATACTTTGTAAGTATGTATATATATACATGTTTATATATGTATATATATCTGAGACACACACATATATATATATATATATATATATACATATATAATATATAAAAAGTCACCACGTTTGGCCACAAACAATAGAACTGACCAGATATCTTTCTGTATTTGTAAAGGCGTCCGAACTGCATCATTGATGATACGCTTGGTTCTAAAATGGACTATATCTTAAAAACTAAAAGCCTGCCCATCTTGGCCTTGGAAGCGTTTTAAAGGGAAAGATTTCTACTTTTTTTAAAGATTTTTTGAAGAAAATCAAAGATGTCTAAATTTGAGAAAAAATTGATTGTTACCTTGTTTTTTGAAAATCTTATATAAATTGTTATTGAAAAAAAAACTAATTTTACAAGATTAAAGTACGTAAAAAGACCTTTCAAAATCACACCTTATTTTTTAAAATCGGAGTAGTCTTCTGAAATTTATCAACGTTTAAAGTTGGACGTAACGGCCAAAATGATAAAAATTCAAGTCCCTGTTAACACAGAGCCTGTATGGTGTGAACCAAACAACTTGAAGAATAATTTTACTTTTGATAGGACTACACTTTCTGCAAATTTCAGCGTGATTTGGAAAACTTTAAAAATTTGGGTGGATCAATTCATAAATAATGCTCCATATACACACTCACTCATATATATGTACACACAAATTTTTCATTTTAAAATATCTATACATATATTTCTTGAACAATTTATTTTAGGGAAAAACGTTTTAAATAAATGTGTATAATATCTAACGAAAAACAAGTGAACACTATAGTTTGATTTTTCTTAAAGTGTGATTCTCAAAATCATTCGAAGATCATTTAATTTCTTTTTTAAATAAATTTATTTTAATTATTTTTTAAATTGATTTCTCGCAATATTCGTTATCAAAACAATAAATTGTGAGGATAAGATAATTATAAAGAGAATACACAACACGATATTTTATATCTTTAACACATTATTTTACATAAACTATAACTATCTCATGAAATATTAATTTTTCGTCAATCTAGCCTCAATAATTTTGTATATAAAATAATGAGAAAAATTAATATTTCTGAAAAAAACCACATATTTTTTAAGGAAAACTATATAGGTGCTACTTGCAAATTACATAAGCACACATATATATTGTTTATATGTACAACTACTTTAAACATTAATTAAAGAATATGCATAAGTACACACACATGAACATACGTGTGTGTGTGTGTGTTTGTGTGTGCGTTTGCGTGCGCGTGCGCGTGTGCGTGCGCGAGCGCGTGTACGTGTGCGTGCGCGCGTATTTTTATAAAAATAAAATTTAATTAAAATCCAGATAAAGAATTAATTATTTTCTAACTTTACATTTTTTTTAAATATTAAGAGTTAAAAATTTGTGCGGACTATTTAATTATATTACGTACCTCTGATATAATTGGGGATTTCCAATGAACTGTTAACTTGTGAAGTTAGATTCCACATATAATAATCACTATCCAAATTAAAAGAGTAATGTTGACTTTGAACAACAAATAACTTTTTTATTCAATAATCTGAATATTTCTATAGAAAAAAATAATTAATATATCGATATATCCGTTCTGAAAAAATACTTGCATTACATACAAATATTAATATTATTAACGTTACTTCATTATTAAAACGAAACATTTTCTCATTTTAGGAAACACACACACATTAAAATAAATATAATAATAAAATCTAAAATTTTGTATTACTATAATTAGCAAATATTACATATTTTTTAAATTATTGTCTCAAGATATTATATTGCAGACCTCTCTTTATCAAATTTATTTAAATAAATATCATGTGTACTACGTGTTTTTGATTAATTTATTTTATTTTTAATTTCATAAAAATTTAAATATATCTAATAAAATGGTGTTAAAAAATAAAAATTTTGAATAAATTAAATTATAATATTATATGTATGTAAATATATGTAAAAAAATATTTTTCAAAAAACAGTTAATTATTTTATATGTGTAATGCTAAACATTTTTAAGACAATTCACAAAGCATGCGTATAGATTTTGCAAAAATGTTTGATTTAAAAAAATTTTGCAATATGAGTACTTAAGTATTGTACAATATTGTTTGCGAGAAATTGGAAGCGAGATATTGTTGAAAATATTTAGAATAACCTTATTGACAGCATACGTTGCAAACAATGTAGTAAAACCTTGTTTAAACCAAAAATCTGATACTAACGGATTATTCATCATGTTATTAAACCATTGCTGTGCCACTTTTCGTCCTACTAATTGAGCTACTTCGATCTTGTGAGCAATAGGATATACATTTTTATCGTAGATGATATCTGTTTCCCTGAAAGTAATAAAATGTTAAGATTGAAAACTTTTATTACAATTTTATTTTGTTATAATATTTTAATTTAATTGTTAGATATACGATTTACAAATTCATGGGTACAATTTAGCAAATCAGTATTGTAAATCGTACTAAATAATATTCTCTTTAATGTTTAACTTTAAAAAAAATGATTTTGTGTTAATACATATATCATTGATAAAATTTATAGTTTTAAATGAATAAAAGAATGTCATTATATTTTTATACCTTTATTACTATTTTAACATTTACCCTTATGTATATGTACATTATAACGATAAGCTTCTACTTTTTGAGTTAAACGAATAAACTTAATTCTTACTACTTAAAATTGTTTGTTTTCCCAATTTCTGTTACTTTCGAATATTCACAGAAATATGTAAAGGATTTACAAATTTTAAATTTGATAAATTTTTATATTAATATAATTTTATTTTTAATGTAATTTTAAGCACTTGTACTCACTTTTAAAACACAAGTCCAAAAACTATTGTGTCATCGTCATGGAAATTTGGAATTGCAACATGAGTCACGTTCGAAATTTTGTCCGAACGTTTCCATTTACTTTTAAAAGACAACGTGATACCTTCAGCTACATTTTTAGCAAATTCCAAGTGAAATAGAGATTCAAATCTGCACCACATTTGAATGTTTTGTGTTTTTATATCAAGAAGGAATAGGTAGTTAGATATAACCATCGTTGCGTGATGAGTCAACATTACAGGTATGGTATCGTAGTGTCTCCATACTAAATTGTACTCATCTCTTTTTGTATTTCGCAATGGCATATTTGACAAAGTCGTGCAGTTATGACATGCTAAAGAAATGTTAAAGGTTGCTTCTAACCGTAAATCATGTGTATGCCAACATGGAAACACTTATCGGGCGTCTACTATCTGAAAATGTGGAGCACCTACCCAACTACATTTCAAAGAACATAAATTAATGAAACTTTTTTCACAAGCATAAAAATAAAAAATGGGAATTAAAAAATGTATAAATGTTATATGCGTCGACACATTATATTTTATGACTTTATTACTTATTATTATAATAATAAAGGTAAAGATTGTTCACCTTTAGATTTAAATTCCGCGATATATAATAATTTTTGGGACATTTAATACATAATTAGTATATTAAATACAATGTAATATGTAGTTGTATATTGTACTCTTTTTAACAAACATTTATTATTTACTTACGTAGCTTTTTTTTGCACGTCGAAAATTCTGAACCCTTTATCAGCAATGCCAAAATATTTTATATTTAAAGTGTAATTTCCTGGTGATAACTCATCCATAAAGAAAATATCAACTGTATCTTCTTCAGTATTATACGTCGGTTTATAAACTATATCATTATCATTCTCATGATATTTTTTGAAATTTGTAATTAAAACTATATTGTCAATACATAATTTTTCCGAATATAAATATATATGTTGCGTTTTGTGAAGAATGTTTATGCTGATATTGTATTCTCCATGGAAAATTTTTGCTTCAATAAATGATGTAAGCTTGATATCGTAATGCATCGGTTTTATATATTCTGATATTCGATAGCATAAAGATTCATTACGAATGAAAGCCGTTACAGCAATAAAAATTAATCCGCTACTTAATAATAGTTTTAGCACTATCATCATGTCGAAGAAGAGAAATAATTATTTTAGATCTGTAAAACACTCTGTGGACAAAATATGAATAAAAAAATTAAATATAGCTTAGATGTCGTTTTTAAATGATTTTTGTATATAAACAACAAAATAAATATAACAAATATTATAATTATTATTGAAAAATCATCCTAATTAGTAAAATATTATACGGTATGGAAGCAACGTGCAAATTTTTATTTGCACAATTTTTAAAATAAAATTATATATATGTATGTGTGTATTTCATTGTCGCACAAATTTTAATTGACAGCAGTATAGAAATATTAAATTTAAAACATATTTTATATTTTTTGAAATAATGGTTTTAATTGTCAAAAAATTATATATATTTAAAATTTATAGAATATTATATAAAATATATATAAATATATATATATATATATATATATATATTGTGTGTGTGTGTGTATGTGTATTTTAGTGTCGCACAAATTTTATTTGACAGCAGTATAGAAATATCAAATGTAAAACATATTTTATATTTTCTTGAAATGATGGTTCTAATTGTCAAAAAATTATATATATTTAAATATTATAGAATATTATATAGAATATACAGGTTTATAGTATATAAACTTATATAGTTGTCTGAAGTGAATTACTTTTATAACCACGAGAGCCGTTATTTCTACATACATATATACCTGTGTGTACATTTAAAATAAGAAGAAGACAGTAGGGGTGAGAAAGACTGAGGTGCGGCGAGAAAGAGAGAGTGAGAGAGAGTGAGAGAGAGAGAGAGAGAGAGAGAGAGAGAGAGAGAGCATGTTATTATTTATTATTAGGTTTCTCCAAAGGTCTGTTTAATTTTTTTTTTAATATATGTATTATAAACTCGAAACAAACAATCATTGAGAATAAAGCCAACATAAATTTAATTTCAAATTGTATAAATTATACACTTGATAATAAATATTATATAAGATGTCCCAGAACTAGCAATACAGCTATTAAAAGCAGATATCTGAGATCATTTAGAGATTTCTTCTCAATGTCGAAGTACCAATAAATGTCAAGTAAGAGATTGAAAATAAATGGTGTTTCGCAAACTAAGTCTTATAGAAATAAAATATTAACAATATTACATTTGTCTATTAATATCGAATCAAGTTTAATGTTATTGGAATTTTTATTTGAGGTTTAATTGCAACATACATGATGGCAATTTTGGGAACATACAAAAAATGTTAGTCTACTTCGACATTTTTGCAGAGAAAAATTGACGCCAAATAATCTTAGAAATTTACTATTAACAGATTTATTACTATTTCTGGGATTCCTGTATATATATAATGCTGTTTTTCAAATATTTTGAGATTAAACGCATCAAAATAAATGTGTTTAATGATTGCTTCAAATCTAAAATATTATGGATTTCTTTATTCGATTGACAATTAATATGTCCTTTCATTTTACTCGATAATATCTACTTAATAAATAATTATTAAAATGATCTCTAGATTAAAAAGATAATTTTGAATAAAACTATTCTCTTTATTCCTATACATATGTTGAAATTCTTTAAAATTCCGTTATACTGCATGATTAAATTTTTTTGTATTTGTAGACACATATATTTTTATATTTTAAATTTATTTTGACTTACCCAATATTTCGAAACAGAACGTTAATTGGAAAATTATATTGATTAAAACTATATTATTTTAAAATTACCTGCAGCAAATTAATGTTTTAGCAGTATGCAATGTTCAAAAAATATAATTACACACACTTATTACTGAAATATTATCTCTATTACGATGTGATTCGAAAGACCACGAAAGACTGACTGATTCTCTGTACGTGTCATCATGATAAATACGATGTGTTAGGTCAACAAATTTCTGAGGGTCGTTATACATATGTAAATATATTTGTGTGTGTGTGTCGGCATTTATATGGAACAGTTATCTTAATTAAATAATTTGAAATTTCGGCTAATTAATCAAATAAATAGGCATTATTTACAAATTTGTATTACTTATTCCGAAAAAATAAAATATATTATATTTTATTTCTTATTAAATATAATTAATAACAAATTTAATAATACGTGAAATGCCCTATATATATTGGGTCTGTGCATAAGTCCGTAGCGAAAATCGAATAAATTTCAAACGCAAAATTATCTTAAAAAGCGATCTTAATCAATTATATATTCCATTCTGTTCGATGACTTTCTGCCATCTATCCACAAGCTTCATTATTCGTTTGTAGAAGTCTTAGATTTTTTCAGCAAAGAAGTCTTCCAATTGCGAATACGACATCTCACGGAATTTCGCTATTTTATGCACAGACCCAATACGAATATATATATATAATATATATATATATATAATATATATTATATGTTGTATATAGTCTAATTCCAGGTGGATATTTTCGCGATTTCATGTCATCATTCGTGTAAGAATAATAAGAAAAATTGTTATTTGCAAATGCATATTGTTTTTTTTTTTATATATTATATTTTTTTGCATCAATTAATTTATCTCATTACTTTATGCAGGAAATTATTAAGTAAAATTATTAAAAAATGAATATATATTTACGAGATATATCATATTTTTTTAAAAAGAATATCAGGATAAAACATAATATATCTCATAAAGCATTCATTTTTCGACTATGCAACTCTAACAATTTTTAATATTAAATACGAGGATTCGATTGAAATTTTTATATAAAACATTTTTGATAAAAGCTATGACTTTTGAGAAATTTTAACCCGAAAGTTAAAATGGGACACTATGTTTTCTTTTTATATGTTGTTTGTTATAAAAGTTATGATAATTTATAGATGTGTGTGTAATACAGATATTGATTATGATTAAGACAAATATAACTTTTGTATTTAAATATTTAAATAAATTGTTTGCGTGTTAACATGTACGTTTGTGTTGACAAAAAATATTTCACTTAAGTTTTTTTTTTTAAAAATTTTTTTTATTATATTATGCAATTGATCAGCCTAGACGATAAATTTTACGTTTTTAATTGATGATTAAAAAACAGTACATCATTCGATTAAACTGAAACAAGTTTGATGTTTGCATGTAAATTAAATTTTTTCTATTTTTCTTGTAAACAATAAATTTAATTGTAGAATATATTCATAGTAATAGCTTTCTGTTAATTACTGCTTGTTATTCATCATAAGTAGACTGCGAGATCAATAAATTATGTAAGGTTTTTTGATTTTATACGTATCAGAATATAAATTAATTTTTTCACGTATACTTTTAATTCTATATCACCATTCATTTTCAACGGTTTAGATTAATAAAATATATATCAAAAATATTTTTTTATTTATATAAATTAAAAAAATAATTTAAATCTTAATTGTTATATTAAAAAAAGAATTCATTTTTTGGAAATGTAGAATATTTAATTATTAAATTTTTTTTATTAATTCAAAATAGCTATTTTATTCGAACAACAATCAAAACATGATGTTAGATTTTTTACTTATGGCTGCAATAGAGATTTTTAAATAAAAGAGCATATATTTGACATCAGAGTTTTATATAAATATTTCATACTTTCAATAAAGAGTAGAATATTATAGAGTAAAATCACGCGTGTGTGTGTTTAGTAGAAAATTCGAGAAATCAGAACAAAACAAAGAGAAATATGCAAATATCATTTATAATTTAATTTTATAATAAAAACTTATAAAATGTGTTTTATGTGATTGTGAGCATTCATTATAAAACTTAATTAATAAATAAATGATATTTGTAGTTTTTTATTTTGTTTTAATTTTTCCAATAAGAAAGGTATGCAATTGTAAAATGCAAAATGTACATTGCAAAATGCAATTTTTTTTAATACACAGTTGAAAAATTTGTATTAAATTAACAAGTATTACATGTCCTAAACGGTCTACAGAAATTTTTGTGTTAATTTAACATATAATATTGATGTGTTAGATAGAGATGCTCTGTGTTTAATATTTTAACACAAAATAAATGCAAAACTTTAAATAATTTAAAATAAATTTTGTGTAAAATAATTAATAATATAGTTTCAATGTAAAAATAACTAAAAATATGTTAATTTTAGATTATATATCATATTCCTACTTATATTATAAAATGAAAAATCAACACTTTTTCTGTAAATTTTAATAAGTAAATTTGTCATTAATAAAACAGAACATATTTATTGTGTAAAATTAAAACTAGATACACATTGTGTTATTTTTACATCTTTTTTTCAGTTATTTTAATTCAGTAATTTAACATTTAAGTTCAATTAACACAACAATATGTTAAATTAACGCATAAATGTGTATTAAATATTTTAATGGGGACTGTTTATAACAAAAACATAATTTTTCCAACTATGTAAGAATAGATTTTTTTATTCTATCAAGAGACACGGTAGTGTCTCGCGACCAGTTAAGGGCGTAGCGGAGACACCGTGTATCTTAACGCGAGTCGGACATTTGAGTCTTTATAATATTTCGAATCCTCAATAATGGCTGAAGCAATCGAGTTTTATACTAGACTTAATCGATAGATTGAGTTCGAATTATATAATAAAAGTGTCTTTATTCTGCTCTCTACGTGATTTGTAAGCAGGATATATAAATGCAAAGTCAAAATATGAAAAATTTCTATTAAGAAACGTCCCCGTCATCATTATCATCATTATCATCATTATCAGCATCATTATCATCATCGACCACGCCATACATAGTAGTATCGTGCTACACGTATTCACACGTATAAACACATGCGCACACATATATCACACGTACACAACACATGCAAGATGATGTAGTGGTAATTTTGTCCATCTCGCACGTTTTACAACAGATGGCGATAGTGGCGCTCCGCCATATCGGCAGCGTGCGGGGTTATGTTGGCTAACTCTCTCTCTCTCACTCTATCTCTCTCTATAGCGCGGATACCACGTCTCTCTCGCTAACTAGCTAGCGTCTCATCTCTCTCTCTCTCTCTCTCTCTCCTCTCTCTCCTTTCTCACACACACACGCACACACACACCACATCACTCTCACATTCTCCTCTTCATCACTGACACTGTTCGTCTTGTGTACTTATTTAGTACATTCATGATTAAACATCTATAGCATTAATGTGAAATTTACTTACAATTAGTTTACTGAAATATTCAATCTCTAAAGTGTTTATCTTATAAGATAGACAAAAAATCTGAGTAAATAATAAGAAAAAAAAACAAGGATTATTATTGTCATAATTTTTTATCAATTAAGTACTCTCAACTATCCAATAATTAAATAAATACGTAAATGTGCGCGCGTGTACACACATACACATATTGATATTAAAGAGATTGAAGGAGAGGAAGGAGAAGATAAAAATTTAAATATTCACATATATTTTCAAATATTATATATGAATTTATAGTTTACATATCTAATTAATAATGAATTTCTAATTATATTAAAAATATCAAAATAAAGACATACATGTATTTATCAAATGAATAAAATGAATATTGAATACAGACTTAAAAAATTTATTAAACATAGACTTAAAAAATTAATTAATTAAACATATTCCAAATTTAGAAAAATAAACTTTATTTATATATGCAACAGCTTTTTAAACTAAATTTTTAAATTCTATTTTATATTAGACAATTATCTCAATCAACATCTACGTCCACATTAGCTGCCACTGCAGACTACCTCTACAGCCACATTATCTGCTCCGCGGATATAGCGTTATGCCAATACGATACATTACATGTACTTACTTACTTGCCTTTACTGTACCAACTCTTGTTCTTTCCACGTAATCATGTTTTTACAGTTATCGTTTGCTGTATATCTTCCAGCAAACTTTATTTCGTGTGAAGTGTATTTAATTAATTAAATCTCTGCGAAAGATTGAGAAGATGAAGGGATAATTCAAACTATGAAGACATGGTTACATGGAAAAGACAAGAGTTGATACAATAATAAAGACATACATGTATTGTATCCTGCTGGCATAAGGTTATAGAAGTTGATTGAGATTGAAAAAATAATGAAAATAATAAAAAAAATAAAGACACATGTATTTGTATCGTGCTGGCATAAAGTTATAAAAGTTGATTGAGATTGAAAAATAATAATAAAAATAATTAAAAAAAGGAAATATTCAATCATCATTTAAAGCATATTTGAAATCTGTAGAATAAACAGTTTTTGCAAAAATGTGGAGCATTTGAGCTCTAGTAAGTCTAAAAATAAGTAAACATCAATTAATAATAACTGATGTTATATATATATTATATATATAAACCAATTTGTTTGCAATATTCACTATAAAAGGTTGTAAGGTTAAGATGGCTAAAAGTGAATAATTTTAAAAGATAGTTAACATAATTTAACATAAACTGAAATATTTCATAAAATAAAATATTTGTAATATTTCGAAGTTTAGTTGTAAGATTATGTAAAAATTATCCTTTATAACTTTTTATAGTAAATATTGCGAGTTAAATCGATTTATATGAGAAAAATTAAGGTAATTCTATTTTGAAAATATAAGTGACCTTTAAATAACCTTGAAAATCCCCGTTTAGGAAAAAGTCTGTGTCAACTTTTTCTTTTCGAAATCCTGCCAACTTTTATCTAAATTTAATAGAAAATGTATAAAAAATGCTCGACATTAGTACACACACACACACACACACACATATACACACACACACACACACATATGGGTAAATTTATATAAATAGGGTGCTTTAGGAGGAATGATCAGGATTCTAGGATATGATTGTACACATCATTTTAAGCAAAGAAGTTTAGATAAACATGTTTAATAATTGTTCTATTCCGGTCATAAAAATATACAAAAATGAATGATATAATCTCTAAAAACTCACCTTTAAAAAAAGGTAAAAAAGGCGACCAGTTAAGGGCACGCCATTAACAAAATTATCCATTGCAAACCCATGTAGAATCCTATCCTATTGCAACCCATGTAGAATCCTATAATCTCTAAAAACTCACCTAAAAAAAAGGTAAAAAAAGGCGACCAGTTAAGGGCACGCCATTGAACAAAATATCCATTGCAAACCCATGTAGAATCCTATTCCATTGCAAACCCATGTAGAATCCTATGAAAAATTAATCATTGCAAACCCATGTAGAATCCTAGGCAAAATTAACCATTGCAAACCCATGTAGAATCGTACACATTGCAAACCTATGTAGAATCCTATGAAAAATTAACCATTGCAAATTCATGTAGAATCCTATGAAAATTAACCATTGCAACCCATGTAGAATTGTATTAAAAATTATCCATGCAAACTTATGTAGAATCCTACATTGCAAACCCATGTAAAATAAATGTATGAAAAATTATCGATTATAAACCCATGTACAATCGTAACAAAAGTAATGAAAATAAAAAAAAAATTGCGCCAAGTGAAAGTAGAAACTTGTACCAGTGGAAAATTAAAGTTGCAGACATATATAGGTCGTATAATGAATCAGTAAAAATTTAAATTTGCAAATGTATAAATCGTACCATAAAAACTTATCTTTTTTAAAAAAAAAGATAAACAAGATGCCAAGTCCATGCGCCATGTGAAAAAGAAATAAAAAATTTTAGTTAAAAAAACTGGGAGCGCTGCTAAATTTCAAAATTACAATATTAAAGTAAATGTTTATTTTAAACACAAACAATATTTTAACTGTTTTGAGTTAAAAGTAACAATTTAATTTTAATATTGTTAGAATATTATTTAGCAGCGCGCCCAGTTTTTTTACTAAAATTTTTTTATTTCTTTTTCACATGGCGCATGGTTGGCATCTTGTTTATCTTTTTTTTTAAAAGATAAGTTTTTTTATGGTACGATTCTACATTTGCAAATTTAAATTTTTACTGATTCATTATACGACTCTATATATGTCTGCAACTTTAATTTTCCACTGGTACAAGTTTCTACTTTCACTTGGCGCATTTTTTTTTTATTTCATTACTTTTGTTACGATTGTACATGGGTTTATAATCGATAATTTTTCATACAATTCTATTGTACATGGGTTTGCAATGTAGGATTCTACATAAGTTTGCAATGGATAATTTTAATACAATTCTACATGGGTTTGCAATGGTTAATTTTCATAGGATTCTACATGAGTTTGCAATGGTTAATTTTTTCATAGGATTCTACATAGGTTTGCAATGGGTACGATTCTACATGGGTTTGCAATGGTTAATTTTGCCTAGGATTCTACATGGGTTTGCAATGATTAATTTTTCATAGGATTCTACATGGGTTTGCAATAGGATAGGATTCTACATGGGTTTGCAATGGATATTTTTGTGTAATGGCGTGCCCTTAACTGGTCGCCTTTTTTAATACCTTTTTTTAAAGGTAGTTTTTAGAGATTTTTTCTGTAACATGACAAGACATTGTGATGTGTTTTTTCTAATATGAATTTTGTATTCAGCTATGCGTAT